GCTGACGATGTTTCTTGCTCCTTGTGCAGGTTGTCCCGTTGAAGTCGTTGAGGCTTGAATCTGCGTCGAGGGATTTGCTTGCGTTGAGGCGATTTGGCTGCTTGAAGGTCGAAGTTGCCGCTGTGGAGTTGTTGACTGTTGACGATTTGGGCAGTGCGTACGCGGGTGTCCTGAAGTTTTGCAGATGTGGCAGAACGGAGGTGCAGATGTTTCGGTTGTTGCTGCCGGTTGTTATTGTTGTTGTAGCGTCGCTGAGTGTGGAACGCGAATTCCGGTGCTGATGTCTTCTTTTTGTGTCGTTCTTCTTGCAGGTCCATGTCTTGCTGCTCGGCGTGGATTTCGGCGCAGAGCGCTGCTTCGGAGATTCTTCCGTGAGCTCGGAGAATGGCCTTTGTGGCGCGCCATTGAGGACCGAGGCCGCCGATGATGACTGTCACGAAGGCTGTCAGAATATGTTGTTTGTGTAGCCTGCAGTGGGGTACTCTATAGTGAGTACAGCCCCTTAGGGTTTGCTATTTGTATCCTGCTGCTTGCTAGTTCAATTATTCCTTCTCAATTCTGTTCCTACACACATTCCTAGCTCGTACTTGGCTCCTCGTTACTAGTCCTACTGTGGCCTAGGCTACTAAGCCTAGGCCGTACTCCTACTACTTCTGACATGCTATCAGAGCAGGTCGATCCCCTTGGGTCGATCCTGTGGGTGGGCCCACCACCTCACTGCTTCCGCTGCTACTGCTACTCTGTGTGTTGCACGCCCCGTGGCGTGCGACGGATTTTTCATCCCGCCGCGCGCTCGGAGCGTGCGGCGGTTTTCTGCCCGCCGTGCGCCCCGAGGCGCGCGGCGGTTTTCTGCCCGCCGTGCGCCCCGAGGCGCGCGGCGGCTTTCTGCCCCGTCACTCCGCGCGTCGCTCCCGGGAGGCGCTACGACGGGCGACGGGGACCCGCGCGTCGCCCCCCGTCGCCCGTCGCGGCCTGCGCAACCTGCGTAGGGCCCGCGCGCGGCCCGTCCAGCCTGCGCGCGGCCCGTACGGGCTGCGCCAGGCCCGCGCGCGGCCCGTACGGGCTGCGCCAGGCCCGCGCGCGGCCTGTATGGGCAGCGCCAGGCCCGCGCGCGGCCCGTATGGGCTGCGCCAGGCCAGGGCGCGCCTCGGGCCGCCCGCACGCGGTTCGTACGGGCTGCGCCAGGCCCGTGGGCGCCCTGTTTTCTCTGCCCCTGCGCTGCCCGCTGTCCCCCGTGCTTCTGACGGCGCCCCACCCCTGCTGCTGCCCGTTCTCCTGAATTAGGGTTTGGGGGTGGGGGGTATGGGGGTGCAGTTTCTGTGCGTCGTCCCCTGCTCCTCCTCCTCCTCCGTCTCCCAGTGCTGCAGCTGCCGCTGAGGGGGGTGGGTGTGTGGGAGCCGAAGGAGTGGTACTAGGGGGGTGACGTGCAAGTGGAGTTAGGAGTGAAGCAGTGGGTGTGTGGGGGGTGTGTGGGACAGTTGGAGGAGGTTGAGCGGAGGCTGCTGTCTTGTCGTCCGCAGCACCTGTAGTCCGGGGCGCACTGTCCTGGTAGCTCAGAGAGCCTGCTGCACCTGTTGCCCGTGGGTCCGTTGCTCCTGCCGCTCGTCGCAGCCGCAGAGCCTGTTACTCCTGTATTCCGGGACGCACTGTCTCGGTAGCCACTGAGAGCCTGCTGCACCAGTCGCCCGTGGGTCCGTTGCTTCTGTCGCTCGTCGTAGCCGCAGAGCCAGTTACCCCAGTATTCCGGGGCGCTCTGTCTCGGTAGCCACTGTGTCAGCCGCCACTGTGTCAGCCGCTTCTGTTGCCCGTGTGTCTGCAGCTTCAGTCGTCGCCTCCCATCTTCTCTCCTTTCATAGTCCCTCCTCCTCCTCACTTGCCCTCTGTGATAGCCTCTAGCTTTGCTGATAATTATGAACTATTGCTATGACTGCTCATTGTGCTGATTACACCCCACTTTGGCTATGGGGGTGTGTCAGAATATGTTGTTTGTGTAGCCTGAAGTGGGGTACTCTATAGTGAGTACAGCCCCTTAGGGTTTGCTATTTGTATCCTGCTGCTTGCTAGTTCAATTATTCCTTCTCAATTCTGTTCCTACACACATTCCTAGCTCGTACTTGGCTCCTCGTTACTAGTCCTACTGTGGCCTAGGCTACTAAGCCTAGGCCGTACTCCTACTACTTCTGACAAAGGCGTCTTCAGAGATCGACCCTCCGCATCGAAGAAGCTTGTCGCGCAACTCGCGACATCGACTGATATACGCCATTCCTTTCTCCCCTGGTTTCATTTCAACCGTTGTCAGTTGCGCCATTAACCGACTTTGGCTTACGCTGTCTGTTGCTTGATACAGGCTCTTCAGGTGGTTGTACGCGAGCTCCGCGGAGTTGCCGTAACCTCGGTAAGACCTTATGTTCTGCTGTTGAGTCGGGGTGATATTCCTCAGTAGGATCGTGTACGCCATCATTGACTGATAGGTGTACTGCTGCTTCTCGTACTGTGTGCCGTTTGTTGGGTATGGCAGAGACCCGTCGAAGAACCCGAGTATCTGCGCGCCTTCCATCATCAGCTCGAACTCGAACGACCAGGTGAAGAAGTCCTTTCCATCGAAGGGTCTTGACGTCTGCATCTTCAGAACGTGTGCGAACTGCGACTGAACTTGTAATGCGTCCAGTGATTTTTCTTGTCCAGGTGAAGGCTGTGGGTGTGGCATAAAGCTGATAGACCCGCGCTCGTACGGAGCAAAGGTAGGCTGCTGTTGTTGATTTCCTCGTGCATATGATGAGCCGTCGAGACTCATGGGTGTTGCTCCGTTGTTGTTGCTGTTGTGTGACTGCGCAGGTGCCGATTGCTGGTGTTGCTCGTAGAAGGACATGAAGGAGAAAAACTTCTCCATCATGCTCCGGTCGAAGTCTGCAGGTTGATTCGCGGGAGTCTCGGTAGATGTTGCTCTGGGTCTTGTTGCTGTGCCCTCCTCTGTCTGTAGGCCAGAGGCAGGAGGTGGAGTAGGAGTAGTGCCCTGGGAGCCGTTGGAGTTGCTCCTTTCCTTTTGTGTAGCCATGCTTGTTGATGTTGTCGGTATAGAAGTTGAATTCCCCCTGATAGCTCTCATACCATGTTGGGCTGAAAAACCCTTAGGATCTTTGCAGGGGTGAACTCTAGGTAGAGTTGGTGTAGTAGCGGAAGCGTTAATTAAAGAGTTGTGAACCACCTTGCGCTAGTATGTGAGGGCAAAGTAAGTTGATTAAAACAAAGAGATACAAGCTTTTATAAGAGTACAAGGAATACGAAGAGATACAGTTAATAACCGTTTTACTATTGCTGTTGCGGTTCGATACAGTGACGACTCGGGCAACTGCTCAATACCGAGTCAGTTGTTTGTCCTTGCTGTCGCGCTGTACTTTGTCAGGTCAAAGGTCGCTGACCTTTGACTTTCGCGTAACCTCCAACAGTTACTTTCAACCTCCGAGGGTTGACTCGCCGGTGATTCGTTATACTTCGTTTCTTTTGTGTCTTAGTGTTTCGACACGATAGAGGCGCTTAGGACCGATTGTTTCCAACAGTTACGAGAACGTTCGGGCAGAATCCTCGCAATTGCTACTGTCTGATGCTGTATGCCCAACGGTTCAGATGCCTTCGTAACCGTACGACCCTTCGCCACTTCCGTCCTTTCGTCTTCATTCTCGGTAGTGCGTGCTTCGGTTGCTGCAGTAAGGAGTGCACAGTGATGATTTAATAATCACTATTTGTAACAGTTCGGTACAGAGTGGTACACTCGATTGTGACGCGTACTTTCTGGACAAGTCACGGCCGGAATATACCATCAGTAGCATGTGTGTTTATGGTGTATACTTTCAATAATATGGACTGACGATACAATGAATGGCACGGGGTAGTATAGCGGGCCAACCTGGCTAGGCAGAAACACGAGCATGGGTGCAGGTTGGGCAAAGGGAAGCCGAAGGCCACGCGAGGTTGCTTAGGACGCGTCACAATTGCGACATCGAACCTGCGGGAGATCGATGTTCCGAGTATACAGTAGTTCGCCGTGTCTTGTATCCCGCTTTCGTTTCAATTCGCTAAGACCCGACACAAGTCACCGAACGCGATGTCCCTTCCAGATCGATCTGCCGATCGTGCCGAACGTGCACTTTGGAATACGGGGTTGTAAACAAAACACTAAACCCCTTCAAGTAAATTGAGGGTTTCTTACGGGGATTGTGCGAAATGTAACAAGTCCTGATAAGACTTGTCCTGGTTTGGTGGCCCACCACCCCCTGGTTCCATAATTCACTGCTGCCTTTGTGTCACACCTGTTTGGAGAATGCCTACGTGTCCGCTGATGACTCGCTGCTAAGCTTATTGCGATGGTGACTTAGCAGCATCTTACATCGCATAGGTGGGCCGTGGAGGTTTCCAACAGCAGGAATATTCCTTTCTGGTGTGTTGGCGGCTTGAAAACCGCACCAAGGTGAGGGCGGCACTGGACCTGGCCCTGAAAGTGATGCCACGTAGATTCGAGCACATCAAGGCGACCAACTCCCTTAGCGGAGGAGCTGGCCGAACCAACCCAGCGCAGCACTTTTCGAGATGCGCCGTGACTGGGCATACTGTGATTGGTCAGGGACTCCTTGCTGACGAGCAGGGTAACAAGCCTGAACAGTGCGAAATTCTCAATGCAAGGTTGGATTGCATGAGCGTGAATTGGGAGGGGGAAGAAGAGCGATTTGCTAGTGCATGATGATGACATGATTCTGCTGATGTCCCGCACAGCACGAACAGCAACGAAAGGGAATCTTCGGCAAAATATTCTCCGTCCATGTCCACTGCTTCTACTTCACACCTTTCCATTTGACCAACCATAAATTGGCACTACGTATCTTGACGACCGAATTCTAGGGATTTTCTTAGCAGGCGCGTCGTGGAGCCGTGGTACATAAGTTCTAATTCTTTCAGAGGCGCTAAATTAGGGGTGCTTGGACGTTAGATTGCATGCTGTAGGAAGGATGAAGTTCGGTAAGAGGCTTAGAGATCAGGAAGAGGATACGTTGCCAGAGTGGCGAGGCAAGTTTCTTCGCTACAAGGAGCTGAAGAAGCGGTTGAAGACCATTTCCGCAGAATCACCGGAACGCGAGCTTGAGGGGGCAGAGCAGCCGCTAGATTTGTGCGATGAATCTTCAGGTATATTCATCGACTCAATAGGGTTTGGCGAAAGGCATCTTATTAATGACCTGTCCGTGCATCCCTATGTAGAAGGCCAGTACCGCATCTCGATGGAAGTTCGGCTTGTATATGGGTTCTTCCCCGTATGCTCGTATCCCCAAGACTCTAGTATTTTTTCCCTGTCGTGCAGATATCGTCAGGCGTGCGCTCTTCTCCGGGTCGTCGGAGGACCCGTTTGTGCAGCTGCTGCTGTCGGAGTTGGATCGGTTCAACGACTTTTTCGCCGATAAGGAGGAGGAGTTTGTCATTCGCATGCACACCATCAAGCAGCGGATAGCCAGTGAGGTTCGTTTTTCATGGAGTAGTGTGTCCGTTATTCATCGTTCACCGACTGGTGTCTCTGACTCACTTTTTTCCGTCTCTGTCCTTAGGTTCCACGAAGGAGTGCTTCCGACGGAACCGTCCAAGAATTTCTTCTTGACAACGCCGATAGTGCCGGGGTGAACAGCATACGCCGTGCCATTGTTGCGCTACACGGTGAAATGGTACTTATCTTGCCCCTCGTTTCTTTCGTCATTTCGACAACCTCGTTTCTGTCCGTAGGCTCCTTTGTTCCTGACCGATCCATTCTCCTTACCTAATCACTGTTCCCTTTATCACCCTGGTTCCTGTGCTGACGTGTCGTTACATCGCAGGTGTTGTTGGAGAACTACAGCTCGCTCAACTACATGGGGCTCGTTAAGATTGTCAAGAAGCACGACAAGCGCACCAGTCACCCGTTGCGTCCGTTCTTGCGCACTGTGCTGCAGCAGGTATATTGCTCACCTCTGTCCTCTTCCTCCGCGCACTTGGTGATTGGCCTGACCGTTGTTTACCTTATCTATCATTGGTCCCATCACATCAATCTATATTCCGTTCATATTCGTCCCTCACGTCTACCTGTCCATCGTCCCGTTCCCTTCGTGTCTGCAGCCGTTCTGCACGACGGAGCTGTTGTCGCAGTTGATCAGCGAGTGCGAGGTGCTGCTGCAGCAGCTGTTGCCGCCCAGCGAGCAATCATGTACGGCTTTGTCTCCTTTCTTCACTTTATTAACTTGCAGCACGTGCGGCTGTAATCCCATTCTTTTATCTCATGTCTGATAGATGTCAACGTTTTTGCATCTTCTACTGTCGTCTGTGTTACATGTGCAGCATGCAATCATCCGGTAGTCACGCTTCACCAGGATGTCCCGTCTGCTGCTGCTGAGGAAGTGGAAGTGACGCCTGCCAGAGAGCCTGCCGCTGCAGAGTTTGATTCTGATGACAACGATACGGTAGCCATGGTTTACCGCAGTGCCTGTAGCGCCCTTCGCGCTCTTATCGAGATCCGCAGCAGCTCAAAGACCCCACATCCGATCATGCTGGCAGCCCAGCAGGGAGCGCTCTCACCTGCAGTGCACTCACCTAGCGTCCCTGCGGAGCCTCTCCAACCCCAAGCCAGCCAATCCAACCGCGGCGATGCTCAGGGTGAAGCCGAAGTGATGGGCAGCGGGGGCGAGTCGAGCTGCAGCACTGAAAGGGGGAGTGCCCAGGTGATGCTGGAAAATACCGCTGGTGTGCACCGTGGGCTAGAGAGGGAGCTGGATTCGGGGAGCAAAGAGCAGGCACAGACGGTTGGCCAATCCTAACATTGGCTTTAAAGGGAGAGACACTTTCAGGTTTTACAGTCATCACTGTAGTGAGGTTGCGGCTGTACATACGCATCTTCAGTTCACTTGCTTGAACTGTGTTTCAGTTGTGTCAAAGCTGTATTCAAATACAGAATGACAACCATGATCTTGAACGAGATGTGTTGTGTTCATTAGTAATCAGAGGTGAAATAGATGGAAGAGCCAACATTTACTGTAGGAAACAAATGCTGAAAAAGGTCATACGGAACTGTAGAATAGAGGTATTGATCCACATGATTATGATAGCTGCGTGTCTGTACTGTTGCTACCACATCACGGCTACCATAACCAGGGAGGATTTAAAGCCCGCGGTCAGCATGGTAATTATTCAAGTTATGTGAGGTTGAAATATTGTTGGCGAAACCTTTATAACAAGAATTTCGAGAATCTGTGCGGAGCGAAAGCGTATTCAAGAGGCGATGAGAAATTGGGTTCGCCACGCTACTGTGCAATTACTGCAAGGATCAAAATGATGGTCATAGTAAAAAACGGGCCGTTCTTTACCATCGTTTTTTACGGTCAGTGTGGCAGAAACACGGCCGTTTTTTATTGGACTTTTTGTGTGTTTTTTTTTTCCCAACATTTTATAGAGCACGACCTAGAATGACAAGGACCGACTGACAAACAAGCCTACAATGGCCTACTACCCTCACTAACTATTAATCTACTCCCCAACCCATCCTTTCCCCCACTCTATCCTCCTCCCCTCCTCCGCCTCTCCGCCACTATACCCCTTATTCCCTCTCTACCCCCCACTACACTATACCCTACTGATGATCCTCTTCTTCCTCCTCCTCGTCATCCTCCTCATCCTCTTCCTCCTCCCCACTATCACCATCGCTGATATCCCACGGATCAATGCCCCTTTGGTTCTTGGCGGGTGCCGCCTCCTCACGCCCACTGCTGTCCGCCGCCGGAGCCTCCTCCTCCTCATCCTCCTCCGCCTCCTCCTCCTCCCCCTCCTCCTCCTCCTCCTCCTCCTCCTCCTCCTCCTCCTCCTCCTCCTCCTCTTCCTCCTCCTCGTCATCCTCCTCCTCCTCCTCCTCCTCCCCCCACTCTGCAGCTTTTCCCTTCCTCACAACCCTGCCAGAAACTTTGCCTTTGCCCTTCCCCTTCCCCTTCCCCTTCCCCTTCCCCTTCCCCTTCCCCTTCCCCTTCCCCTTCCCCTTCCTCTTCCTCTTCCTCTTGGAGGACTCTCCCGGACCCGCCTTCCTCTTCCTGCTCTTCTTCCCAATGCTACCGAACTCCGCCCAGTTAATGGTGGTGGTACACTCTTCCTCCTCTCCCTCCACTACTTCAGCCCCCTCTTCCTCAACTTCTGGCGCGACCGGGGGAACGGGGCAGCCGTCCTTGAGTGTGCCATCGCTCAGGTCACGATACAGGTTCTCACGCACAACCTGCCTGCGATCGAAAGCCTCACGTGCCCGCCTGGTGAACGCCACAAAGGTGACGTCAGTCATCTTTGTGGCGGCCAGGCGGTTCCGGTCCCGCCTCTGCACACGAGCAAGGGCGGACCAGTAGCGTTCCACCTCAGACGAGGTGACTGGCTGTGATAGGGTCATCACAGCCAGCTCCTGTAGCGCTTGGACCTCCCCTCCATACATCCACCACCATTCGGCATCCGTCAAGCGCCCACCCTCCACCAACGTCGAGGCCGCCCAACGAGCGTCGTGTGATCCAAGCCGCCCCTCTCCTTTGTGGAACTGGGCCAGCTGAGCGCACAGCAATGCGCGCTTAGCCACGTCCCCACCACGGGCTTGGATGACCGCATCCGCCCCTGCCATCACCTCTTTGTCGTTTCGCACCGCATTCTGATACTGGTTTCGGGGGTTGAGGAGCCACCCCAAAGCATGCAACGGGTTGTGTAGCTGGCCGTCCCATCTCTTGGCCACGATTGCATTGATGGTTGCCAAGAAGGACGGCCTGTCCTTTGTCGCGAGAAGGCCGGTGCGCTTGACGAATAGTCCCGCTGTGGAGTGGACAGAGAACCAACGAACAAGTCAGTGCCTCGGATGGGACGGGAAACACTATGTAGGGAGGGTACCAACATGTGTAAGTCGCTTACCTGCCGCCTCTGCAGCCTCGTTCGTTTTGACAGTGGCCTCTAACATGAGGCCATATATCTGCCCCATGAGTAGAGAGCGTTTGTCAACAGCCCGAAGCACCTCATAGACCGGAGTCATGAGGCGCTGGACTGCGACAACGAGCTCCCAAAATACATCATCAAGTAGGAGCGTGCGGACCGCTTGCCCCTCTTTCGACCGTGCCACCGCCACCTGCTCCCACTCCTCGCTAATCACCATCGCCTTAAGCGCCCTCTTCACTTCCAAGAAGCGGCCGACCATGATCACTTGGGTCCCAAAACGCGTTGCACCGGGCCGGACCAACGACAACTTCGTGAAGAGTGTGCGGAAAAGCACAACCGCGGAGGCGCTGCCCTTCACCATCATAACCACGCGGTGTACTTGGGCTAGAACGCGTCTCACCGCCCGAACCTTCCCGAAGTCGTGCAACATGAGGTCCAACACATGCGCGGCACAATTCGTGAAGAACACATGGGGAACTTCGGGTTTCAGCAACTCGGCCGCACGCTTGTTGTTGGACGCGTTGTCCATCACGACTTGGACGACGTGATGGCCTCCCACAGAGCGGATCGCATCGCCAATAAGTCCCGCCAGGTACGCTCCGGTATTTTTTGCAGTCTTTGAGTCCACGACCTCAACAATGACGGGTGCCGTGTCGTTAAGCGCGATGACGCACACCATGCCTCGTGACTTGATGCACGTCCACCCGTCCACCGAGAGGGAGCACCCGCTCGTGTTCCAAGAGTCCTTGAGCGGCTGAACGAGGGCTTCCGTATCAGCCCTGAGTTTGGCAAGCAGCGGGCCCGAGACTCGGTAGGGTGTGGGAAGAGTGTATGGCTTCGCGAAGTTGACGGCCGCGTCCACAAACGCCTGAAACGATTTTGAATGAGACACGTTGAACGCGAGATCATTATCTGCCATAGCCGCACACCACAAGTAATCTAGACGTCCGCGGGCAACATCATCCGTCATGTCGCGGATGTCACGTTGCCTATTACGACGGACGGGCTGAAGTGCAACCGATGACGTGGAGGCACGGTTTTCACAACCCCCGGTGGTGGACCGTTCGCGTTCGGCTTCCGCACGGAGTGCATCAGCCACGATCGACTTGCACATCGTCACGTTCTTAAGCTTGTCTGAGGGAGTCCCGTAAATATGGTACTTAATGCGGGTCGCGTTAGGAGTGACGGCGTCTCCGCAATGCTTGCATGTCGCACTAGCTACGCCGTTGGATGTCTCCTTGATCACGTGCTTCCATTCGTCCGATAAAGGTCGCACCATGGCCTTAACTGAGGTGAGTGAGAGAATGCTAAAATAATTCTGCCGCTAGGATGTGAAGACTAGTTTCTGCTCCACGTATTAGTACCTTCGTGGGGCAAAGGGCTTTGCAAGCGTTGTCGAGTGGAATTTGGGGATGGGGTGATGAGAGGAATGGAACAGGTGCAACTCTGATTGGCCGAAATGAGTTCGCAGCGCGAAGTTTGGGTTGTCGCACAAGCTGGCGAAAACCGAAATTGGGGGCGCGAAAGTGTGCAACAGCTATGCGAAACATTCAAACAATTGGCGTCAGTTCGCCAAATGTTTGAATGTCGCGGCCCGCTAAATTGAACTCGAAGCGCAACGGCGAACAACTGAAACGACTGGGCGAAACGGGTAAACCTTTGTCGACCACCTCGCCAAATGTTCAAATGTCGCGCTTCGGGTAAATGCCGAAATTCGCGCTTCGGGAAAAAAAAACACAAACGATTGGATTCGTGGGGACAGAATTCGGTCCCCTCGAATGACGGTTGGGAATTTCTTGTTTCGCTAATGTGTGACTCGGTTTCAAAATTGCGGTCGTATTAAACGACCGTATTTTAAACCAACCACAAAATGAACATGACAATCGTTTTAAACCGTTTTATACGACCGAAATAAACGATACCGTTTTATACGGATAATTTTAAAAAAACGACCGTCATTTTGATCCTTGTTTCCGAGAATCAGGGTGGGGCGAACGATCCAGTGTGCGACAGCACTGCTGTGGTGTCGCCCCACCAATTCCAGTGCTAACACTCGTGAGGCTGAACTGGGGTGCACTGTGCACACCAAACTCTTGTGCGACTCCACTGAGGCAGTACATTCAAATCCTAAATGAACAAATTGTCTTATGCTTGGTCGTTTGTGAGACTTCACTTCAAGACAACAAAACCGAAGTGCTGTAACGTTAGGAAACAGAAACATATTTTATGCCAATTGTCAGTGGAAAAAAATTCAAATCAATAAATACAATAGATATACCCATGTCCTATACCTTGCTATCGTCCATCTGTAAGGCTTCTTCTAAGTCGTCCACGTAAGGCTTTTATGGGGAAAGCGAGGGTGAAGAAAGCAGAGGCACGAGCAGGAAGGGAATGAGAAAAAGGGCATCGCATTGGATGCAGCTGTTGGTGCAGGGCATATGGCGGGGGGAAGCAAGGCATATGGCGGGGGGAAGCAGGGCATATGGCGGGGGGAAGCAGGGCATATGGCGGGGGGAAGCAGGGCATATGGCGGGGGGAAGCAGGGCATATGGCGATGGGAAGGCGGCATTAGTGACAGGAGTGGAGGGGGAACCACGAACAACCCAAACGACGGGGAGAGGAGGTGAGGTCGACGGGGAAAGGAGGTTAGGGCGACGGGGAGAGGAAGTGAAGGCGAAGAGGAGGGGAGAGGAAGTGAGGGCGATTGGGAGGGGTAGTGAGGGAAGCAAACCCTCCCCACCTCTATCCACCCCCACCTCTTTTCTCCTTCTCTGGCTCTCCCCCTCAATCCCTTCCACTCGGTCCCTCCCCCTCTGTCCCCTCCCCTCTGTCTCTCCCCCTCGGACCCCCCCCTTTCTGTCCCTCCCCTCTGCCTCTGTCCCTCTGTCCTTCTCCCTCTGTCCCTCCCCCGCTGTCGCTTCCGTTTTCGGGAAGGGGGGCGGGTGTGTGGGGGGAAGGAGGGCGGGTATGTGGGGGGAAGGAGGGCGGGTATGTGGGGGGAAGGAGGGCGGGTATGTGGGGGAAAAGAGGGGGGGCATGTGGGAGGAAGGAGGGCGGTATGTGGTGGGGAAAGAATGGGAGGGGGTGTAAACAAGAGAGAGGGTGGAAGTATGAGAGAGGCAGGCCAGGCAACGAGGGAGATGGGAGGGGAGGTGATTGCAACTGACCTAAAAGCGTGAGGCACTGTTCCCCCCTATGTCCCTTCCCAACTGTCCCTACCCCACTGACACTCCCCCATCTGAACCCCCTCTTCTGTCCCTCCCAATAAATGAGGCCCGAAGAGGGAGAGAGGGAGAGAGCGAGAATAGGATTGAGCAAGAGAGGGAGGAAGATATAGAGCGGGAGAGGGCGGGACAGTCAGAGAATGGGAAAGGAAGATATGGAGAGAGCGTGGAAGAGAGTGAGGAAAAGAGAAATGACGAGGGGAAGAGACGAGAGGGGAAGAGCGCATGACGAGGGGAGAGACATGTGACGAGGAGAAGCGCGCGTGACGAGGGCCATCCCCCTCTGTCCCTCCCCCTCTGTCCCTCCCACTGAGGGCGTTCTGTGGAGGAAGGCGGGTGTATGGTGGGGGAGATGGAGGCGGGTATGTGGGGAGGCGAGGGCGACGGGGAGAAGCGAGGGTGTTATGGCGACGAGGGAAACGAGGACGTTGAGGAGAAGAGAGAGAGATGAGAAGAAGCTTGGGTGACTAGCGGAGAGAATGAGGGAAAGCGCCGTTGACGAGGGGAAGCGCGGGTGACGGGGAAGCGAGAGCGACGACGGGAAGCGCGGGTGACGGGGAAGCGAGAGCGACGACGGGAAGCGCGGGCGACAACAAGAGGCGAGGGCGGCGAGGGTCGGCGAGGGTGATGAGGGAAAGCGCGGGCGACAAGGAAAGCGGTATGACGTGGGAAAGAGCGGCCGACGAGGGGGAACATACGCAAGTAACGGCAGCGTGCGTCACCTGAACCTTAAACGGTACGATCGTGACACGAGGCTGATTCGCAGCAAGTGCGACGCGAGATTGAATGCACGGCGCGTGTAGCGCGAAGATCATTCACTAACGTAAGTGCCGCGGGTGAACGTGTTGTTACTCGAGACTGCCGACGTGAGGGGGAGATCGGAGCGTGCGGTGACAAAGATGGTTGAGGTGGATACCTACTTTATATTTCCCACAAAAAAAAACCCTTTCAACGACTCGCTTTTGCCTACTGGAGCTAGTTTTTGCCTGGAGCCTCCTAGTCTATGAGTACTACTTGGTGTCCAAGTTATGTGAGTGGTGGACAAGTGCATATGGTTGGCGATCATCGCGTCAGTTCTGTTTTTGGGCACTCGGGTTCCGTTGTCGCAGGACGATTGCCTGGGGTCGCGAGAGTTTCTTCAAAACAAGTAGGGTAACCCTGTTTTTGGCGATTTCAAGTTCAAGAATCTTGAACTTGAAAATTACCATGCTGTACTCGGGCTTTAAGGCCCGGGGTCAGCATGTGTGGCTCTGGCGAGGATTATGTTCCTCCGCGAGCACGTTTGCATCTCGCTCGCACCAAACCAGCGATACCCACTGACCCTGTGCGAAAATTGAGTCGCATAAACAGATACTTTATCCAATCAGAAGCTTTCACACTCTTACGAAGAGCACAGAAAGTGTGGCCGAAGTCTCCACCTCACCACTGACTCAACTCACCTCTACTAACGGAGAGTAGTAATACATCGCCGCACGAGCTACTAACAACACCCACTCAGACTCAAATCGGTAAATCGATGCGACAAAGGAAACGTGTTCGACACGAGGCTCACCTCAGAATACTGGCGACGCGGTTATCCCAGGAGCTGTCAACAACACAGTGGAGGGGTGTGTAGGAAAGTGCAAGCTTAAAGCCGTGGCCCAACTATCAGCTTCAACTTCAGGGTATTATAGCTTGAAACTTGGTAGTCCCAGGCAGTTCAGTGGCGAGAGGTTTGTCTTGTGCGAGATTCCATTTTTTTCGTCCTATAAGGGTCCCGTTACGCACACTCCATATTTGTCCTGCAACTGTTCCTAAGAAGTTGCACCCCGCCGACATCCGGTATGGGAAACGCGCTTGTTGAGGAAGCATTGGAGAGTTGAGGAAATGAGCGCCGCGCTCGCACACTACTATACACCAGATACGGTATGTCCATAAACAGATTGGTGAATTCATGAGCAACAGCCGAGCACGCCTACAGCAATAACGCTACAGCTACAGTAACACCAGCTAATAAAAATACACAACACTGGTAACACTATAGCAAGAGTGTCACCAGAAGGGGCACCAGCCGATGTAGCTCTGGCAGAGATTCTCATGCGAGGTGGCCTGCACCACCAGCCGCTGCACCTGCTCCTTCACACTCACCCCCGGCTCGCTCTCCCGCCCCTCCGCTATCACCCCACCACCACTCCCCATCGCCGCAGCAGCCATGGCCGACGTGGTCCGCTCCAAGCTGCGCCCACTGTCTCCCAGCAAGCTATTGCCGCTGCCCGTGCGAGGGGACTCCGGCACGGCTCCCGGGAGAGAAGCGGCCGGGGCGGCAGAGGCAGCGAGAGGGTGGAAGTCGCGACCCGTGAGCTTGTTGCTCATGCGGGTCATCACCGCCACTGCGCGCTCATTCAGCACCTCCTGGGCGTCATCCAGCTGCCCCAGCGCCTGCAGAATCTCCCGCTCCCGCGCGCCCCGCTGCGGCGGCGGCGACTGCACCGCCCCGCCGCCTCCCCCGCCCGCTGCCCCGCCACCACCCGCACCTCCTCCTCCCCCTGCCCCGGCAGCAGCAGTGGTGCTGGCGGCGGCGGCGGCAGCGGCGCCGGTGCGATTGATAAGGCGCCAGTTGATGAGGGGATCGTACATGAAGGCCTCCATCATGGCGAGCACGGAGTCTTTGTGCTGCCGCAGCACTGCCATCACGGCCTCACACGTGAACCGGAACGTGCCCTCGATGCCGCTCACCTCCATCGCCTTCACCAGCATGCGCGTCAGCCGGAACGGGAACTTCTCGGGAAACTTCTCGCGGTGCATGGACGACTCGAAGCAATCACCGAAATCAATGTGGATAATCTTCCCCGAGTAGCGATCCAACATGAGGTTGCTCGGGTGGCGGTCTCCCAGCCCGAGGATATACCCCACCATGCTCATCACGGCGAGGCTCCGTGTGTAGTTGCACCGGCGATCCAGCCACACCTCAGCGCTGCGGCTCTTGAGCCACAGCACCCGCGCCAGGTCGTTCCCTGGCGTGCTGTCCAGCGCGTGTTCGAACGCTTCCACTTTCCCGATGACAGTGAGGTGGTCGTAGTCTGGGGCGAAGCTCAGGATGAGGCGCCTCTCGAGGTTCACTGCGATGTTGTGTGCCTCGCGATACTCCTGAATCAGCTGGTGCATCGTGTCGCAATGCGGTAACCACCCGATGAGACCAATGTTGGGCGACAGCTGCACCACTGCGTACCGTTCGATGGAGAGGTCCTTGTCAGCTGCTGACCTGGCGCCGGCCAGGAGCGTGTTGACCAGCCCAAACAGCTGCATCACGCGCTCATCCAGTCGTAGATCCTCGTGGCCCTTCAGCAGGAACACGTACTCCCGGCCGTCGGATCCCAAGATCGAGATCTTCCGTGGCCGCTGCTTGGACGTGATCACCAGCAGCTGCGGCGCAAACCCGGCGATCGTCACTGTCGGCCGGCCGGCTCGGTACGTGCCGGGGACAGCGAGAGCGAGGTCGCGGGCGTTAACCAGCGCAGGCGCCACCTGGAGGAGCTCGAGAGTGGTGAGCGCGGGGAGCTGCTTGTTGATGCGCTTGAACACGTGGTAGTACAGGTCCCACGCCTGTGTCAGCTCCGCCTCTCTCCCCGTCCGCCTGTAGTTGGCGCAGCACTCCGCCGCCTCCGCCAACTCCCGCCCGTACGCTTCCACGAAGGCAGCTTCCGTGCTGGTTTCCGGGCCGGCGGTTTCGAGCAGCGCGTGCAGCGGAGCGAGCACGGCCAGCATGCCGTCCACATTGCGCTCTCCGAAGTACAGCCGCGAGGCCTCCTCCAACGCCTCGTGCCACATCTCGTGCCACAGGATGGCCACTCGGATCAGCTCCACAGACACCAGCTGTGCTGCCTCCACCAGAGCGGCAGAGTGCGAGCGGATGTTGTCCAGGACTGCTTGTGCGGCGGCGCAGCGCGAGAGCGACATGGACTTGCAGGCGACGAGCAGCGGGAACATGAGCGTCTGCGGGTGATGCCGCCCGACGCGGATGAGCAATGATTGCACGAGGGAGCGGACGGCGGGCACGTTGTTGTGGATGCGAGCGATGATCTGAGGGATGACGTGCAGCCACGTGTCGATGTTCACGTGCGTGAACCCCTCCTGTAGCGCCGTTTGCACGTCGGCTGTAGCGCCGTACCGGAACCAGAGAGTCAGCAGCCGCAGAATATCCTGCAGGCTGTCCCCCGCGCCCTTCCCCGATCCTAGCCCCTTCGCCACCCCCACTCCCCCGCCCGCCCCCATCCCCTTTCCATCACCTGCACCGCCTGTTCCTCCCGCCACACCAGCAGCAGCAAACACCGCTCGCCCGCCTGCCTGGCTCGCCGTCCCGCCTGCCTGGCTCGCCGTCCCGCCTGCCGTGGCCAGCGCAATGGACCGGAAGAACCCCGCAATGGCGGCAACGAGGTGGTTCTGAGCGGCGTGTGCGTTGCCCCTCTGCGTGAAATGCGTCATGGCTGCCGTGTTGAACAGCGCCCAGCGATGCCACGCCTTCCCCCACTCTGGCGCCAGCTCTGTTGCCGCCCGCAGGGACGTGCCGATCTCGGCGACGGAGGAGTCGGAGAGGGTGGGGTGGAGCGACCACTGCCACGTGCCCAGCTTCAGGTACACCCGCGAGAGAAGGGGCGCCCCGTGCGCCATGCCGCTGCTGCTGCCCTCCCCTGTGGCTCCTGCTGCTGCTCCAGCCCATGCTGCTCCTGCTGACGGTGCTGCGAGGGAGGAGGAGGAGGGGAGCCCTGGGATAGCAGAGGGGGGAGGGGGTGAGTGGCCGGTGTGTGGGAGCGAGGTCATGCCGGGCAGAGGAGACACCGGCCGCGCCCCCCCCAAGCTTGACGCCGAAGCCATCCCGAGCCCCAGGGCGGCGGTGCCAGGTGGCGCGCCGTGAGTGGCTGCGAGCGCGGCAGCGAGATCCTGCAGGCAGCGGAAGGCGTTGCGGCGGTTGACGTCGGAGGCGAGGGCCCAGGCGTACTTGAGATAGCCCAGCACCACGTGTGGCATGGCTGGGATGAGTAGAGGGGGAGTGGATGACGGCTGGTATGCGAGGGAGGATGAGGTGGGAAATGGGAGGGAGGAGGAGGTAGGGAAGGCGAGGGAGGGTGGTATATTTGCCACGGCTGCTGCCGCGGCTGTTAGCATGTCGTTGGTGGTGCTGGTGGTGGTGCCGGCGCTGCTGGTGCCCATGCCTCCTCCCAGACCCACACTGCCCAACCCGCTTCCCCCCAGCACTCCTCCTCCCGCGCCCGCCCCGCCCCGCAACCCCACCGAAGGCAGCCGCAGCAGCGGCACTGCCCCAGCCGCCCCCGCACCGGCCACCACCGCCAGTCCGCCGCCCGGAGTGCCAATGCTGGTAACGGCACCGCCCTCCCCCTCGTGAACATCCAGCCCGAGCATCCTGGCCCCGGCAGGGTCGTGCTGCAGCAGCCTCAGGAGGGTGGCTCGGGCCTGACTCACGCGCCCGCTCTTGCGGCAGAGAGAGGCGAATTTGAGCCACGTGTGGGCGTCCTGGTGCATGGGTAAGACGAGCGACCGCACGGCTAGCAGCGCCTGCCACACGTCCACGTTGCGCTGCGCGCCCTTGATCCTCTCCCGCCACATCTGCCGGATCAGCGCCTTCCTCGCCTCCACCTCTCCCGCGCCCATGTGCCCCTCCTCCCCTCCAAATCCGATCACCCCCCCTCCGTCCATCCCTCCAAAACCCCCTCCCACGCGCCCACCAGCTGCTCCCCCCCCTGCATCTGCCCCCAGCAAGCAGTAGTCTATAACTTCCTCAAGTTCTGACAGCTGCTGCACCCTCACCACGTCCCCGTACGCCCTCTCATAACTCTCCAGTACCAGCGCTGCCAGCTCCGTCGCCAGAAGCTTCCGTGCTCTTTCCACGAACTCCCTCGCCTCCCCGAACGCCCCGTGCCGCACCGCCAGCACGGCGCGGAAAAACGCCCCGTCGCTGCGCCCTGAACCTGACCCCACCCCCGAACCTCCCGCCAAGCTATGGTGCTGCTGCATTGGCAGAACCGCGCCGAACCTCCCGCCACCGCCGCCCATCCCGCCAAACCCACCCATGGACGCCCCACCGGCATCATCCCCCCCATCAGGCAGCACGGAGACATACTCCGCCATGTCGTCCCACCGCCCCATGTTCCACGCTGCTCCCGCCCCCAGCGGCGCCATCTGCATGCGCGCTGCCGGCTCAGCGGGCGGCCACGCGTCGTGGCAGAGCGCAGAGAGCTCCTCCCACCGCGCCAGGGCGCCCAGACACCGCATGCGGCCCAGCGTGGCGTCTAGCAGCACCGCTGACGCCGCTGATGCTGCTGACGCCGACACCGGCATGGATGGGTGCATGCCGGGGTGCATGCCCCCGGGAGCAGCGCCGGGTACGCCAGAGAGAAGCATCCCCGTCTGCCCCATGACGCCTCCCGCTGCCGCTCCGCCTCCCCCGACCCCGCCCCCCATGGCCGTCACAGCAGCGGCCGCCCGGCGCTCATAAGCCGCGAGCGCGTCGTGCCAGCGCTGCAGCTTCTCATACCACGGCTCCTTGAGCTGCACCGCCAGGTGTCGCTGCGCGTACACGAGCATGCCCACCGCCGCCTCGTGCTGCTGCAGCTGATTGTTGATGTGAATCAGCGCTTCAATCTCCTTGTAGTGCAGCGCCTTGGCGAATGCGTGGCACTTCTCCGCTAAGGCGCCGAGGGTGCGGATGTCGACGGGGAGCGGGCACTTGTTCTGCTCCATGAACTCGGCCAGGTTGAGAAGGGTTGCGAGGATCTCCGGGGGGATGTTGGGCGACGCGAAGGCGGCTTCGAGGGAGTGCACGAGCTGGTCGCGGCTGGCGTCGTTCAGCTCCTGCCAGCAGCTCACGAACCCCACCGCGAACAGCTCCCGTGCCACGTGCGGTTGGAGGGGCGCGAGCGTGGCGCACGTGCGCAGAGCGGGGGAAGGCGACTCTTTGAGCAGCTCCACGGAGAAGTGGCGCATCCACTCCGCCCAGTCCTCCCGCGTGCTGCGCTGAGACGACTCCCATGCCTTCCTCAGCTGCCCCTCGTTCACCCGTAAGGTGCCTGAAGCTGATAAACCCAAGTTGGTTCCACCGCCGCTGCTGCTGTTGCCGCCGCCGCCACCACCGCCGCCCCTGGAGGTGCCGCCGGGGCCGCCAGCGCTGCCGACGGCGTCGAGGGACGACCCCATGCCGTCGAAGTCGAAGCCCCAGTCCTCATCGAACCCCACCGTGGCGTTTAGTGGCCTTCCCCCGCCGCCACCAGCACCACCGCCAGCGCCGCCAGCAGCCGCAGCGCCTGTGCCGCCCGCGCCCCTGCCTCCGCCCCCCGCTCCTCCTCCCGCCCCCTGCCCGCCCGCGCCTCCCCCTCCTCCCCCCTGCGTCCCCCCCCCTCCCCCCTGGCCTACGAGATTATCGGAGCTCCCCCAGGTGCTCCCCCCGGCGAAGGAGGCGGAGGAGGGAACACGGGGGAGGGAGGAGTGGGCGGCGGGGGGGAGGTTGAGCAGCAGCGAGGGGTCGCGGCGCTGCAGGCACGCTGCTATGGCGTCGAATCGCGCGCTGGAGAGGCGGTGGCGGGAGAGGAGGCGGCGGATGGTGGGGATGAATGGGGCGAAGTCGGGTCCCTGGGGGGAGGGATTGTGTGGGGAGGGGGAATGGGGCGCATTGGGGAATTGGGTAGGAGAAATGGGGGGGAAGATGGAGAGAAGCGTGTGGATGGGATGGGAGCGTGGCGAGAGGCAGGAGATGCGATTGGAAGCAAGCGGGGAAAGTGTCACATGACAGCGAAACAGAGGGAGCATATAGTCCCACATCAAGTGCACGCAGTGCCAACCCACCCGGCTGCTATATCCCCACCCAACTTCCAGCAAGCAGCAAGCAGCAAGCAGCAAGCAGCAAGCAGCAGGGAACTGACCTGGGCGAGAGCGAGGTCACAGATGGCGTCAGCGGCGTCCCTGCGGAGCTCCTCGCTGGGCCTGTCCAGCACGCGCGCCAGCGGATGCAGGATGGCCGCCGCATGGTCCGCGACGTGCAAGGAGGGCAGCAGGCGTGTGAGCGTGCGCACGGCAGCGCGCTGGATGGGCAGCGGCACGTCGGACACGCCGGGCTTGAAGAGGCGCACCACGGCGGGCAGCAGCAGGTGCATGTGCGGCTCCATGTCGCCGCCCACCATGCTGCCGCCCAGCACCTCAAACGCGTGCAGCACGGGCGGCACGCGCTTGTAGTCGCCGCTGCGCTCCGCGTCCGCCACGACCGCCACGCACCGCGGGAGCAAGTCCGGGAGGCACGCCTTGAAGTCCTCGGGGAGGGCGCGGGCGAGTTGCTCCACTAGGTTGAGCACGGGGGAGGGTGCGGGCGGGCGGGGGAAGACGGAGAGCAGCAGCGGGTGCCAGAAGTCGTGGATCAGGGCGGTGATCTCCGGCAGGTACTTGCGCATGTGCTGCCGAACGATGCCGACCAGCTGCGCCAGCTGCCAGAAGAGAAACTCCCTCAGGCTCTCGTCACACGCGCGCATGACATTGAACAACTCGGGGAGCACTGTTGGGAGGAAGGGCACGCAGGCGAGCCCCGTGGTGCGGAAGATGAACATGCGCGCGCTCACCACGCGCCGGTGCTACGCTGCGAGGGCGCCGTCGCGGAGGATGCGGAGGAGAGCGGAGATGGCCACTGTGGAGTAGTACTCGTCTGTTAGGCCTCCCGCTGACGGCACGTCTGTCAGTGGGTCGTCGCCGCCCATGCCACCCATGCGGTCGAAGCCCTGGAGCACGCGCGGTGGCTGTAATGGTCCCACTGCCCCGCCTGCCGCCCCAGCTGCGCCCCCTGCTCCGCCTCCCGCCGCCCCGCCCCTCCCGCCCCCTCCCCCCGCCCCTCCTCCTCCCGCCGCTCCCCCTGCTCCCGCTCCCCCGCCCCCCCCGCCTCCCCCTGCTGCTCCGCCACCCCCACCCGCGCCTCCACCCCCTCCTGCGGAGACCCCCCGGGCGTCCACGCCCCCCTGGGCGGCCATGGCTGGCGGCAGCAGCAGCAGCTGGTTGCGCTTGTTGACGTGCGGGTCCAAGGCGCCCAGAATGCCCAGCACCTGCAGCACCGACCGCCGCATCAACCACGCCAGCTGCCCGTTCAGCATCGACAGAAGTAACCCCAAAAGTTGGGGGTAGTGGCGGTACGGCGCGACTACACACCCCGTGCTCTCCACAACCTGCCCGAGAGTCACCACCGCCACCTCCCTCCTTTCTCCCGGTCCCGGCCCCGTGGTATCATGCAAGGAGTCGACTATGAGAGGCATGAGATCAGGCACGTACGGAGTGAGCGCACTCCTTGCCACCTTTGCCAGCTCACCTACCGTTGCCAGCATCGACGCCACCACCCCGCTCGTCCCACCGCCCCCCACCGTCCCCACGGCAGCGGCATGTGCGGCGGACACGGCCTTGAGGCGCGCGACAAAGACCTTGAGGATGGGCGCGATGTACGGCGCCACGAGCGGCGTGCACGAGTGGATGAGGCACCGCAGCAGCCGTGCGCCGTCCTCCCGCAGCCGGCTGTCCCCGCTGTGCTCCACGTCCCCCAGCAGCCGCACTAGGTGCCGCCGCAGCGCCGGCAGCACGTACGCCGGGTTCCGGGTGGCGAGCCGCCCGGCAAGCAGCACGGCCTGCTCTCGGACGTCGTATGTTTCGTCGTTTAGCGCGATGAAGAGCGCGCGGAGGCAGTCTGGCTGCGCCAGGAAGGAGTCCAGTGCGGTGGAGGCCGGTGCGGAGAGGCACGCGAGGACGGCCTTGCGCACGCCGGCGTCCACGTCAGCAACGGAGGAGACCAATAGGCGCTCCAGCATGTCCTCTACGATCCCTCGCCGTTTCTTCCGCATGCCCGGCTGTAGCAGCAGCTGCTGCGCGATTCGCTGGACTTTGAGTGCCGCCGCGCTGCTGCTGCCCCGCCCGCTGCCGCCCCCCACGCCGCCCGAAACGGCCCCTGCCGCCCGGCCGCCCCCTCCCCCACCGCCAGCAGCGCCAGGGGCTGCACCCGCGCCGCTGGGTTCTGACCGGGGCGCGGGGGAGGGTGCGGGGGAGGGGGAGGGGGGCGCGGAGAGGGCGGAAGCGGTGTGGGCGAGGACCTGCGCGCAGCACACGGCGGCCTCCCTCCTGGTCGCCACGTCATCATCCTCCAGGTACCTCGCCACGTGTACACGCGTCAGCTCTAGCAGGTCGTGCCCTGATAGGTCAAACGAGTAGAGCGTGCAGAGCGCCAGCTGCGTCACCCCCGCCATTGACAGCTCCCCCGCCACGCTCCCCCCTCCCGCGCTGCTCCCCGCGCTGCTCCCCGCCCCGCCCCCCCCTCCGCCTGTGAGCGCGCCGCTCGCCAGGCTGCTCAGGCTGGCGCTTCCGCCGAGCGTCAGCGAGCCCCCGGATCCGCTTCCGCCTCCGCCTGCGCCCGCGGGGGGACGCGCGCCCGTCAGAGAGCCGAACGCGCCGCCCGCGCTGGTTCCGATCCGCGCGGAGGACTTGCGCGCGAGCACGGCGGTAATGGCCTCAATGAGCTGTGATTGGACGAGCGGCTTGAGCGCGGGGAGATGCGCGGAGATGTGCGCGAGCGTGTGCACGAGGGGGAGAGAAAGGCCCGTGTGCAGGCACACGGGGAGCAGCTCGCGCACCACCTCGCGCATGTCGTCCCCCACTGCCGCCACCAGCTGCCCCACGCACGTCAGCGCCTCCACCGACGCGCGCCCGCGCCGCGGAGTCAGCGCCTCGCGGAGGAGCGCGGAGATCGCGGGGAGGTACGGGCGCAGCGCGGGGCCGACAGCGCTGGCCATCTCGCCGAGCGCCGCGAAGCCCGCGTCGCGATCGGCGGGGTTCTTCATGACGCCTAGGAGGTGATCCATGCAGATCTTTAAATAGCTGCTCACGAAGCGGTCGCGGAGGAAATGCGCGATGCGCGGCAGAAGCGCGGTGATGGATCGGCGGATGAGGCGCTCGCGATGGTCGCGATACTTGAGAACGATGTTCGCGACTTCCTTGTAACGCGCCATCATGAATTCGCCCGTGTTGCGAAGCATTTCGCCGATCGCGAGCAGCGAGCCGTGGATGCTCTCGACGCTCGCGCTGCGCTGCAGCCCTTTCTCAGTCTCCTCGAATAGTCGATAGTACCCCTGCACGCGCCACCGCGTCTCGCGCTTCTCGATAACACGCAGGCACGCGCGCAGCGCCTCCACCGCGCGCTCTCGCACCGCGAGCTTCGGGTCGCGCAGTGCCGCCCAGATGACGTCGATGAATGTCGGGACGTGCACGTTGAAGACCGTCGGCGCGTTCGCCGCCATTTCCTTCAGTATAAGCACGGCCGCGTATCGCCGCGCCTCGACGCGCTCCCCCTCGAGCCACCGCAGCGCCTCCTTCACCTGAAACTCCACCACGTCAGCAGCCATCGCGCCGCCCGCGCGTGCCACGTGTCCCAACGTCGCCGCCGCCGCGGAGATCGTGTCAGCGTCCGTCTTTTCCTCGAAGATTCGCCGCAGGAACGACGCGAAACGCGACGCCTTGGCCGCGCTCTCGCCGAGCGGCACGTCGATTAACTCGTCGATAGCGTGAACGGCGCCGAGATTATCGGACGGCGAGCTGCTCTCTACAAGCACGTTGATCCGTTCGTACAGGGTGTCCATGAAACGCGTAAAGGCCTCGCCGCTGAGATCGCGCGCCTCCTCCTCCACGTGCTGGCGCAGCGTCAGCGCGCCCTCCTCCTTCGCCGCGTACGGCGTGCGCGTACACAGCTCCGCCAGCAGCCGGCGCAGAATGTCTGCCGCTGCCCCCCGCTCGCCGCTTCCGCCCGCGCCCCCCCCGGCCTGATCCCCCCTGTCCCCCGCCCCCCCCTGCTCCACCCCCCCCCGACGTACCGGCATGCGCCATTGCGGCCATCACTGCGCGGCTTTCGGAACCACTAAGAAATGTTTTCGTTAGTCGCTAGCCCGTATACATCGATTAGGTGACATACGCACGACCGGAAGAAGCGATGATAACGCAATAGGTCTCTAAATCGTGCACTGTACACATTACCTGTCAGCTAGTATCTCTCACCCATGGTGCGTGCTGCTTGGTTGAAGAGGGGAAACTTGGGTTGCAGGCCGGGAAACGGCTATACGCGCTGTTATACACTCTGCTGCGATCGCAAAGAGTCTGTAGAAAATGTTAATAAAAAATATATACATTTACTGAAACCAGAATTTCCTTCAACCAGCAGCATTGACACCAACTACATACCTCACATCACTACCGAACTCCATCTCCTAATCAACCAAGGAAGTGCCGGCCGAAGCAGCTAAGGTCGCACACGCGCTCATTGTCCTCTCGCATCCTCTCGCCCAATCCCCCGCTTCTGTCCCCGAATTCATAAATTCTCCGCCTTTTTTCCGCGCTGTCGCGTTTCCCCTGTCCCCCAGTAACACTCTGCTGCTCACTCCGCAAATGCCGCTTGCTCGGTCAAGGCGGCAAATGGCGCATTTCCCTCGCGGGACCGCGATCAACGCGCATCCATCGCTGCTCTTCGAATCATCAACCCATTAGTCGCGCGTCGCGTAGCTGCTACCGCCGGCAGCGCGCCTCGTAGACCATGCAGCCGGGAAAGCAGCATGCGGCTGCGGCCCGTAGGCGTGCCACGTGGCAGGTGGGGCGATTCGCCTGCAGAGGCGGCCGATGGGTGCGGTGGGCGACGCTTCTGCTAATCCCCATAGCGTATCTCCTGACTCTCCGCATCTACCTCCGCCTGCACCCGGGCGACGCGACCATCCACGTCAGCGGCGCGGGCCACCACATGTCGCTGCTGCATCTGCGCCTCAATCCCCGCGGAATGCGCGCGCTCATCCGCGGACAGGCGGCGGACGTGGGCAGGGGGAACGGGACGGCGGCGGGAGCGGGCGGTAGTGGGGGAAAGGCGGCGCTGGATGCGCTGATGGCGGAAGGCGGCGCGGCGGTGAAGGGAAAGGCGGGGGGCGCAATGGGCGCTCAGAGCGCAATGGCGCAGCTGGTGGCGGGGGAGGGGGAAGGGAATCGGACTGGCGCAGGAGGAGGGTGCGGGGGGAGCGGGGGGGAGGAGTTGCGGATGTGGCGGAGAGAGTGGCTGAAGGAGGGGCGCGCGCGGCGCAGGGGAGCGGATGCCATGCGGAGGAGGGGCGAAGGGGGACAGCAATGGCGGGGATGGGGGGGATATGGCCCCGAAAATAAGGTGAGGGGGTGGGGGAGGGGGGAGGGGAGGGAAGAGCGATCAGCAAGGAAGGGAAGAAGGTAAGAAGGCGAGTCGAGGTAAGTGGGCGCGGAGGAGACGAGTGGGCAGCAGAAGCGCAGCTTTCATTGGCTGCCAATGAATGCCTGCGGAACTCAGACAGGGGGGTCATCCGCCCTTTCCCCACTCCCTCCCTCTTCCAACCCCCCCCCACCCCTCCAACCCCACCCCTGGCACCCCTCCACCCTCCCCCTCATGGCTTCCCGCACCAACTCCCCCCTCTCGCTGTGCCTTCCCTTCCCCCCACTGGCCATCTGCCTGGTGGGCGAAGCGCGGGATCATGCCCCCCCCTCCTCCTTTTCTTCCCCCTTCCCCCCTCCCCACTCGTCCCTTCCCCAACCCCCTCCACGTGTGGCCATCTGTCTGGTGGGGGGAGCGCGGGAGTTCCACCTGACGGCCCGTTGCAGCGCCACCTGCTATGCTCCTCCCCTTTGGGGCTGCTCAAGCCGTTCTCCCCCCTGGGCACATCCCTCCATCTGCCCACACCTGCCTGCCCTCGCCCTCATTCCCGCACCCCCCCCCCCCGCCCCTCTCCGTCCCCAGCCCCCTCCACGAGTGGCCATCTGTCTGGTGGGGGGAGCGCGTGAGTTCCACCTGACAGCGCCCACGCTGCAGCGCCACCTGCTGCCCGCCTACCCCTCGGCACACGTCTTCCTGCTCGCCCCTCTCGACCACTCCGCCCACCGCCTCTCCCTCCTCGCCTGGCCCCACCTCGGCGCCGCGCGCTTGGGGGAACTTGGGGGAAGCGGGGGGGGAGCGGGGGGAGCGGGGGAAGGGGTGGGGGAAGGGAATGGGCGGTGGGGCGGAGATTTTCCCGGATACTCCCTGGTGCAGGTGAGTGTGCTGCCGGACGTGCCGGTGAATGAGACAAAAATCACCGACCGGCTGCTGGAAGTGGTGGAGGGGAGCGAGGCGCAGACGCGGCAGGGGCTGATGCAGCAGTTTAAAGCTGTAGAACTCTGCGTTACCGCCATCACGCGTTACGAGAAAACCCACGCGATCCGATACGATTGGATTCTGCGAACCCGCGTGGATGGGTACTGGATGGGCCCGCCGCCACCCCTGGCGGTGCTGGATCCGATTTCGTACACGATTCCGGGCGGCAGCGACTGGGGGGGGCTGAACGACCGGCTGGGGATGGGCGGCAGGAAGGCGAGCTGGAAGGCTCTGAGAAGGCTGAGCGTGCTGCGGCCGCTGGTGGAGCGCGGAGGGTACTCTGAGCTGAACGCGGAAAGAGTTTACCTGGCTCAGATGGCGTTCCTGCAAGTGCAGGTGAGGCGCGAAAGTGGTTGGGAAGGTGATTGTTGAAGGTTGAGCGCGCTGTGGCCTCTGGTGGAGCGAGAGGGGTACTCTGAGTGAACGCGGAAAGGGATTACCTGGCTCAAATGGCGTTCCTGCAAGTGCAGGTGAGATGGACGGATGGAAGGTCGTGAGGTGAGGTGCACTGGTGGAGAGTGGCAGTTATTGCGAGTTGAGCGCGGAGCGGGTGGGTGCATGCATGCATGTAACGGTGAAGATGAGGGGGGAATACATGTGGGTGGAAGGTGCTGGGAAGGCTGAGTGTGTTGCAGCCGCTGGTGGAGCGCCGGGGATGCAGCAAAGTCAATCGGATGCGCGTTCCCACAGGTGCAAATGGCGTTCCCACAGGTGCAAATGGCGTTCCCACAGGTGCAAATGGCGTTCCCACAGGTGCAGGCAACGGCAGGCTGATGCGAGGCTGTGAAGCGGGTGAGCGGGCTGCAGGGGCAGCAGTGTGGTTGAGTGAGGGAAACACTCTTTAGTGCTGTTGGGTGGGGACACTCTGTGTTGTGGGCGCTGATGGCGCTCCTGCAAATCTCGGCAAGTGCAGGTGATGGTGTGGAGTGCATGTGAGTGGCTGAGATGACATGAAGTGTGTGCTGCTGCACGTGCAGCAGGGGGCGTGGGGGTGGCTTGCGTAGGGGCGCCTGGAGCAGTCTGATTGGTGGGCAGGAGGGAGGGGAGGGGGCAGGGGGTACGTGATGGCGTTTCTGCAGAAAAGGGGGAAGGTGGGAGAGGTGGGGGGAGGGAAAGTGGGGAGAGAGGGGAGATGGGCGGAGAATGAGGTGCGCTTGTGGCTGGTTGTGAGAAAGAGCACGGTTGTGGTATGGTGAGAAACCACCGCCTGCCTGCTTCCACATATGCTCCAATTTCCTGGTCTTTCCATTTCTTGCCCTTCCCTACTCTTCATCTCTTCATTATTCCCCTTGCTCTCATCACCCCACCCTCCCAGGTGGCGCGTTATGACTTCCCCTTCTGCATCCTCAGCCGCAAGTCCAGTCTGCGGCCTTCCCAGTTGCAACACACTCTCCCACATGTTTTCCAACCTCCCACTCTTCCGTTCTCCCCTCCTTCACTCTCTTTCCCCACCTCCCCAGGTAGCACGTTATGACTTCCCCTTCTGCATCCTCAGCCGCAAGAAGGGCCTCCCAGCCTTCCCCGTCGCCGCCGCCCTCTCCTCCACCTCTGCCGCCCTCAACGGCGCCAAGTGCCGCCCGTGCCGCCCCACTGTGGTCGGCGGGCAGGCCGCAAAATACATCCTCGCGCTGCCCGAACGGATCTTCGGCGCGCAGCCCCACGGGATCGACCTGTGCCGGGCAGAAGACGACTGGGCGGCAGACTGGCGCGAAATCTTCGATAAAGACGCGGGAGAGGTCCCAGCCGCCGCCCGGCAATACATGGAAACGCGGACCTTTGACGAGTGCGTGGAAGACTGGCGATACTTCCACCAGCAAGTCCCTGTCTGGAACGCCCCTCCCCCAGTCTCCATCTGCGTGCGCGGGCTTCTAGGAAAGTTCCACAAGATGGGGTACCCGGGGGGGGATTTCCCTGTGTTTCTAGACCCGTGGGTGGGGGAGCGGGGGGAGGTGAGGGGGAGGAAGCCGGTGGTGTATTCAGCAGTGGCCGGGGTGGACTACAGCTTTGACTGGGCGCTGATGCGCAAGCTGCGGTGCCGCGTGCACGCGTTTGACAGCACTCCCGAGGGCATGCGGTGGATTGGGGACAAGATTGACAACCTGCCGCCCGCCTCCTGGGTGCACCATGCCTGGCTGCTGGCGCCGCACGACCGCCCCCTGCAGGTAGCTTGCTTTGCTCAGTGCGCATGTGTGCGTGTGGGTGGAGTCAGGAGTGCCCTCAATAGAGTGCATGGGCATGGGTTGGTGGCACGAGTCAAGGCTGGCACGCCCGTGCCTGCTTTTGTGCGGCATGGGGCCTGACTGAGTGCGACAGCGGTGGCTGTAGCCTGTGATCCCATGGTTGCTTCCTCTGCCATCACCATGCCTCCATCCCACCTCACCATCCATGCCTCCATGCCTCCCCATCACCATTGTTCATGGTCCCTCCCTCCTCCACAGCCCCCCTTCTCACCGTGTCCGCCACCAGGTGAACCCAGTAGACAATGAGAGCACACCTCTGGAAGCTTAACACCATCCCTCGCCCTGTCCCCCTCACTCACAACTGTCCACCCCCAGGGGTACCTGATAGAATACGACGTTTGGCACAGCCCCACGTGGACACCTTGTGAGGCAATCCAGCCCCCTTTCCCGTCCCATCCACCCCCAGGTGTACCCGCTGGACATCGAGGCGAGGAACACTATTTGGTAGAATACGCCGTGACCCATGACCCCGCTGCCCCACGTGGCAATTCCTGAGTCAATACAACTTCTCCCCCCTCCTCCTCCGCCCCCCCGTCTGTTACCAGGTGTACCTGCTAGACATCGAGGAGCACTCTGTGGAGTATGCCGTGGCCCCGCCGCCTTGCATAGACACCTTTTGGTTCAGAAAGACCCCCCCACTCCACCCCCTCTTCCTGCCGTCCACCCCCAGGTGTACCCACTAGACATCGAGGAGCACCCTGTAGAATACGCCGTGACCCCGCCGCCTGGCATGGACGGCTCGTCGCTGCCGCCGCCCATCCAGGTGGAGGCGATGACGGTGGAAGGCACTATGAAGCTTCTCAACCACTCCATCGTGGACATCATGAGAATCGGCGGGCACGTGTCGCTGCATGAAGCAATCTTTAAGGCGTGGACTCACGCCAAGCGCGCCCCGCCCATCTGTCAGGTGTGTAATGGGGTGGGGACTTTTGAGGCGCCTCCAAGGGTGTCGCTGCATGAAGCAATCTTTAAGGCGTGGACTCACGCCAAGCGCGCCCCGCCCGTCTGTCAGGTGTGTAATGGGGTGGGGACTTTTGAGGCGCCTCCAAGGGTGTCGCTGCATGAAGCAATCTTCAAGGCGTGGAGTCGTGCCAAGCGCGCCCCGCCCGTCTGTCAGGTGAGCATGGGAGGGAGGGACTTGTGCTATGCCTCAATAGGCGGCCATGTGTCGCTGCATGAGGCCATCTTCCGGGCGTGGAGTCACGTGCACCTCCCGTCTGCCAGGTGTGTAATGGGCCGGGGACTTAAAGGTGCCGCAAGGGGTGTCGCTGCATGAAGCCATGTTTTACGGCGTGGAGTCACGCCAAAGTGCGCTCCGCCCGTCTGCCAGGTGAGCATGGGAGGTGGAAGGCACCATGAAGCTTCTCAACCACTCCATTGCGAACATCATGCGGATAGGCGGCAACGTGTCGCTGCATGAGGCTATCTTCAGGGCGTGGGTTCAGGCAAAGCGCGCGCCGCCCGTCTGCCAGGTGAGCATGTGGGGAAGGAAGGTCGGGGGGAACGGCTGAAAGTGGGGAATTCTGAGGAGCCTCAAAGGTTGTTGCTGCATGAGTACATCTTCACTTCGTGAGTTCAGGGTACGTGCGCACTGCCCGTCTGCCAGGTAGGCGGGGGGAGGGTGGGGGGAGGAGAAAGACTGTAATTGGCTCTCATTTCCACGTGTTCTTGCACCTTGGTTCCCGTTGCCTTTTTCTCTGACATCATCGGCCCTTGCTTGCCTCCCCCCTTACAACCATGAGTCATCATCGTGCTCACCATCTCATCCACCCCTCCCGATCGTTCTCTTCAGGTCATTGTCTCGTTCCACCATGGCGACAAGCACTACGGGAGCGCGGAGACACAGCAAGAACTACTGGCCTTGCGCTCGTTAGGGCTTGAGCTAGGTGTGTGTATAAGAAAGGATAGCCTGTATGAGAGTTGTGTGCTGTACTCGGTACACCATTGCAAGTACGATATTACATAATGCAATGATGTGTTACCCTTTTGTCATATTCGATAAAAGAAAATGAATCACGGGAGCGGTGAGTTGACTCGAGTCATCCCCGTATTTTCATGCAGAGAAATGAGATGAAAGAATGCCATGGTATGTTTCCTGGAGGGCCCTAGTCATTGATAGATCATAGAAGTAAGTGTGGTTAGTTCTGTTTTTATGATGAAAAATGGAAGACTCTGTGCTATGAGGTTTATATGATTAGTGTAGCTTCTATATACCAGAGCGAAGTACGAAAGCTGCTTCAATTTCGGATGGTGCACACATGCTTCAGGGCCGGTCAATCTGGGTTTGTGGAAAGACACGTTTCGGACATGAACTACCCAAATTTCTTCAAGGAAACCCGAAGGATACCTCAGAAGCAGGCTGACAATACTCCCAACTGGCTAAGTTTTAGAAACTAGACGAATGTGAGAGATGACACACCTGTGGTGAGATGACAGTTGGAAAATCTGTAAACATATTTTGGTGACTATTTTTCAGGTGCCACCATCTGTTCGCCCTGCTCTGTACAGTAGAGGGTTTAGGGTAAAGGAACCCCCTCATCGAGCCGCAGCTTGACCCTTTGGACTCGCGCGACGCGTGATTTCACGGATTGAACTAGGACGTGGCCCGTGGGGCTTGTTCCTGCGCTGTGCACGCACCGCGCCACGGCCTGGTAGTACACCTCCACCTCCCCATTCAAGGCGCTCTATCACATCCCTGATTGGTTCGTTGATTACTTCGACTGCCGCTAGCCCCTCGCTCGCATCGCTGTCCAATCATAGGCCCCGTTCTCAGTTTCCATTTCGCCCCAAGCTAGGCCTGTTCTAACATGCCCCATCGCCCTCCCAGCCATACAAAGCCCCTCACCTCACTCCATAGAAGCAGCGTCCTCCAAGCTAGCAATATACTGTACTTCCAACACATTACTCTCCTCGATACTTGATATCTTGATTGACTGGGATCACGCAACACTCCGCTTTCTAGTTTCCCCGAACCTCTCCCACCTTCCACAATGGCCGTGGCAATGCAGATGCCGCCCTACGACATGGGGTGCGACGGCGCCCCTCTACGCAAGGCCTTCAGCACTCCCAAGCCCAACCGCGTCGCCCGTTCGCCGAGTCCTGTCCCCCAGAAGTCGGTGCTGCAGGCGCCAGCGCGGCCGGCTCAGCCACAGCAACCCGTGCTCCAGTCGCAAGGGTCCTTCGGTCGACAGCAGCAGCCTCCGCTCTACGTTCCCCTCCAGCAGTCCGGTGCCGCCGCACCATACAAAGTCGATGGTATGGCCGAGTTGACCTCTGCTGCCTCCGCTCCTCCCGCCGTGGCTCCCGGCGGCCTGCCGTCACCCAAGTCGGTGTTCGCCAATCACCCCGGCTCGCCGCAGCGCAACGTGGTCGAAAGCCTCTTCAAGCCGGTCGCAGCCGCCGGAGAACTCGCCCGGCCCGGTTCTCCCGCCGGCGAAGCTTCAACCACACAGCTCAAGCCGTTTGGGGGGAACTCGCTGTTCAAAGCGGCGGAGGTGGGCAACATGGTGATGCAGCAGCAGACGGCGATGCAGGTGGCGCAGATGACGCAGCAGATGAACCACATGCTGGCGGAAATCACCGCGCTCCGCTCAACCGTGGCGGAGCTGCAGGTGCAGGTGCAGTGCGCCAAGGCGCAGGCGCAGTCTCAGGCAGTGGCGCAGAGCGAGGCGCGCGGAGCGCTGAAGGAGAGCGCGCAGCAGGTGAAGGACGCGCTGCAGGAGGGGCTGCTGGACGTCAAGGAGCTCATCTCCTTCAAGTGAGTTTCGCGTCTTCGTTCTGGATTGTCGAGCAAAACGTCTAAATAATCTTCCACGCCGACATCACGGATCTCCTTCAAGTTACTTTCACGCGCGCTTGAAAGAGGTCCTCGGCTTTTGCCAGCTCGTGTCATCTGGGTCTTCTCCCACGTAATTACTCCTTGGCTAACCGCTCAGCACGCGTGACTGAAGCAGGCACCTAACGGCGCTGCTCCTCCCTCTTCCCCTTTACCCCTCGGCTCTCGTTCCGCCGCCTTGGCAGGGACGCGCAGCAGAAGGCGCGGCTGTTCAACTCGTTCAGCACGCGCGACCGCGACCCCATGGAGCGCGTGCCCAACGACGCCGGCGAGCTGCCGGTTAGGTTCCCGGCTTCCCGGAAGGAGCTGACGGCCATGTCGCTGGACACGATGCAGTACCTCTTCGAGTTCTACCAGCTGCCCAAAGAGCCGCAGGACACTCTGTAAGTCGCGCCTTAACTCCTCGTTAAGAGCCGATTGCATATCTCCGATATAAGTAATAACTGGCCGGGGCACGATGAACCATGTTTTTGACGTCCCCAGGGAGCCTCGGGACACGCGGTAAGTCGCGTCTAACTCCGCGCCTTCGCGGTAGGCTAACCCGGCGGTGGGCGTAGATATCTCGTCTACGCTGCCGACGCCCTCGGTCCCTCGCACTGCTGCTGCGCGACACCACTAACCCGCCTCTTGTGCTTTTCTCGTGCATTTCTCGCCCCCTTGTCCTTCCCCCTCTCCCGCTCCGCTCTCCCCCGTTCAGCTACGACCGTCTGATGAAGCACATCGGCGTGCGTGTGTAGCTGCCAGTGCGCGAGGCTCGAATGACCCACCAAGGCGACAGGCGTAAATGATCGCTCTATAAACAGACTCGAAATACATGCGGATAGGTTGGCGTGCCAAAACCTCGCCTAAGAGATGCACTCCGCAAGGCAGTGGTTATACCAGGCGCTAAGCTAGTCAACTCAATTATTTATACAATTGCAATGTCAGGGTTTGGGTTACTCAGGACATGGTGTAGAAGTACGTTTTTTTTTTTTTTCCTGGAGCACATTATTGCAAATAACGGCGACCAGAGATTATGTCTCTCTCCCAGCAACCGCTTTCCTCTATACAATCAGAAATAACGGCTTAAGTACAGTCACAATGTCAGCATTCACATGCAAGTGAACTTTGTCAATCACGCCTGCTGCCCCTGCTGCTGTGCCTGCAGCGGCAGCAGGATGGGCAGCTTGGGGGTCCGTTCTGGCAGCACCACTCCCAGTGCCAGCCCTTGCTGCTGCGACCCTGCAGGCGAGGCTGCATACATGCCCTGCTGCCCCTGCTGCCCCTGCTGTTGCCCCTGCCCCTGTTGCTGTCCCCCTGCCTGCTGCCCCTGGTGCTGCTGCTGCAGCGCGTGCAGCTGGGAGGGCAGCAGCATGGCAGGCAGGGGCGAGGAGAGCGGCTGCTGGGAGAGGGATGACATGCCCGACCCCACTGCCACTCCTGCAGGCGATGGCGTCACTGCTGCTGCCATGCCCGCTGCTGCTGCTGCCCCCTCCTTGTCGTGCAGTGCTGTTATTAGCGCCGGCTGCAGCAGCAGCTGCGCGAGGGCGGTAAAGCGAGTGAAATAAGGGAGGAAAAGGACAAGGTGGGTTAGGAAAACACAAATGGGAAACACAAAGTGTACATGATCAGCCTCCAAGTTGCCTGATGGGCAAGCAACTCAATGAGCCAGGCATAAGCATGTCGGCATGCCCCACGCACGCTCTCCACACAGATGCTCTCCGCACATGCTCTCCGCACATGCTCTCCGCACATGCTCTCCGCACATGCTCTCCGCACATGCTCTCCGCACATGCTCTTCGCACATGCTCTCCGCACATGCTCTCCACACATGCTCTCCTCACACGCTCGCCGCACAGATGCTCGCCAACAGATACCTGTAATTTAAGCCCTCCACCCAGCTGTCTCCCCATCCTCACCTGCAACTCCCTCTGTCTCGCGGCAAGGGTCTCCTGTGCCTCTTGCACTCTTGCCACAGCTGCTAGTGCCTGCACGCACAGTAGGAGGGAGGGCAGTGATAAGCTATAGAAATTGATTCAAATGAAGCATGGATAAACAGTGTGGTATGGCATTCATCCTCCCTCCCGCTATCCCCCCCTTTTCTCTACCTCCCTCTCACCACCCTCTCACCACCCTCACCTTGCTGGCAGCAGAAAGCAACCCTCACCTTCTCCTGCTCCCGACCTCTGCGTTCCTTGCTCTCTCCCTCTCCTTTCCACTCTCTCCCTTCCTCTCCTTTCCTCCCTCTCTTTGCATGTCCATCCCCCTCTCAATCTCTCCCTCTCACTACCCTTTTGCTGCCATCTCACTACCTCACCGCCCTTACCCCCTCCCTCTCACAACCCGCCCACCATGCCATGAAAATCCAATTTCCCCTCGTACCCAGCAACCACCTGCTTCTTGCCTTCCTCCCTCTCTTCCCTTCTCTTCCTCCCTCTATGCCCTTCTCCCCCCCCTCTTCATCTCACCGCCCTCCCCCTTTCCCCTCTCACCATCAGCCACCTTGCTGTGCTGCGCCAGATTCTCCGCGCTCTCTTCCGCTCTCTTCCTCCCTCTATCCCATTTGAACCCCCTCTGCTTCATATCAACATCCCCCCCTCCTTCTCCCCTCACCACGCGCCCACCTTGCTGTGCAGCGCCACCTTTTCCTCGTACCCGGCAGCCACCTGCTTCTTGCCCGCCTCCAGCACCTGCCAGTGGTGGTGCCAGTGGCGGTGCCAGTGGTGGTGCCAGTGCCGGGACGATGGTGGGCGGGTCAGGAGTGTGGCGGTGAGAGAGGTAAATGGTACCAGTGGTGAGATCGTCGATGCTGAATTCACCCAGAAATCAACAAATTGCCACCATATATGTACGGATGAACGTCACGCATGGGATGCATGGGATGCATGTGATGCATGGGATGCATGGGATGCATGGGATGCATGGGATGCATGGGATGCATGGGATGCATGTGATGCATGGGATGCATGTGATGCACGTGATGCATGGGATGCAAACCAAAATCTATCTCTAACGACTGGGGATGTCGGCCGTATGCTACAGGGATGCACTCAGCTTCTGGCACTACTCACATCCCCTTTGCTTCTCCCTCTCCCATCCGTTCCACTTCACATATGCCCCTCCCACCCCACCATGCATCTCCTCTTCCCATCCCACCATGCTTGTGCCCTTCCCACACACCTTGATTCGCTCCTTGAGGCTCACTTCCGTGGCCGTGGCCCTCTGTAGCGCCTGCTCCAGCTGCTGCATCTGCATGTCATACGCCCCACACTCCCCCACACGCACATGTGCACACACACGCATACACGCATGCGCGCGAGCACACACACACACACACACACACACACACACACACACACACAAACACACACACACACACACACACAAACACACACACACACACACAAACACACACACACACACACAAACACACACACACACACACACAAACACACACACACACACACAAACACACACACACACACACACAAACACACACACACACACACAAACACACACACACACACACACACAAACACACACACACACACACACACACACAAACACACACACACACACACACACAAACACACACACACACACACACACACAAACACACACACACACACACAAACACACACACACACACACAAACACACACACACACACACAAACACACACACACACACACACAAACACACACACACACACACACACACACAAACACACACACACACACACTCACACACATGCACGCACACACGCACACACATGCACACAACCAGCCACACAGGATTTGCGTAAATGCAAAAATTGTTCGCGGACACAGCCAGAATGAAACGAGACAGTCAACGAAAACAGCAGTAGAGCAGAGTCGTCCTACCCCCCACCTGTGCTGCCACCTCTGCTTTCCCCTGCCTTGGACACTCCCTGACACATGTGTGCACACTTGCACACACACATGCAGCACATGGCCACGCATACACACATGCGCGAACACACACATGCATGCAGGCATGCGAACATGCATATACGCACACACTCATGCGCACGTGCACTCGCACTCACACGCATGCCCCCATACCCGCCATCCCCTCACCTGCGCTGCCACGCTCTGTTTCTCCCGCCTTGCTCGCTCCACTGCCGCCCGCAGAGCATCCAGCGACTCGCCCCCCTGACCCCCTTGACCCGCTTGACCCGCTTGACCCGCTTGACTTGCTTGACCCCGCGGCCCCCGTCCCCCCTCTCCCCCTGCACCCTCCCTTGCTTGACCGTGGGGAGCCTGGCGCTGCTGGTGGGACGGCAGGCATGGGGTGGCATGGAAGGAACGGGCAATGGCAAAATGGCAGAAACACTTATGAGAATATCCAAAGAAGATATATGCACATGGTGTACAGTGGAAAGAGAGGCGAAGAGAGGTAGAGGAGAGATAGAGACATGGCACGAGCAGCAGAAAAGAAAGATCCCGGAAGGGGGATGATGCCACGTGTCCAAACACCATGGGCCCATGACGTACCGCCACGTGTCCAGATGCCTCGGGCGGCATGCGCTCGTCCTCATCATACTCCCCCTCCCCCCGCCCCCGCCCCATCTCATCCTCCCCTCCCCTCCGCCCCCTCCCACCTCCCCCTCCCCCCGGCCCTCCCCCATTGCTGCGCCCAGCAGGGGGGTGGTCGGGGGAAGCATAGGGGCTGCCCCCTCGGGGGCTGCGACTGCGATCTGACAGACAAAGGGGGAGAGGTGCGGGAGAAGGAAGGGGGGCGGGCGGAGGGGGAGAGCGAAGGGGAGTGGAGGATGCGCGGGAATAAGGCTGAGAACGGAAGGGTCTTCCAAGGGGAAGGGGGAGGGAGAAATGACGGGAAGAATGCAAGGAAACAGGTGCGAGGAGATGAAGAAGATGGGATGGAGGCGAGAGGATGGAGAGGGTGTGAGTTGCTGTGGCAATGCATGTGAGATATCCCCGTAGGGGGAGAAACTGTCTGGAGAGATCAAGGGTAGCATGACGACAGGACAGGGCGGTAGGGCATGGGAGAGCTGCGGGTGAAGGAGTGAGGAGAGTGAAGGAGTGAAGAAGGCGAGGGAGTGAAGAGAGCAAGGGAGTGAAGAGAGCGAGGCAGTGAAGAGAGCGAGGGAGGGAAGAGAGCGAGGAGAGAGAGAGGGAGTGAAGAGGGCGAGGGAGTGAAGAGGGCGAGGGAGAGAAGAGGGCGAGGGAGTGAAGAGGGCGAGGGAGAGAAGAGGGCGAGGGAGAGAAGAGGGCGAGAGAGTGAAGAGGGTGAGGGAGTGAAGAGGGTGAGGGAGTGAAGAGGGTGAGGGAGTGAAGAGGGTGAGGGAGTGAAGAGGGCGAGGGAGTGAAGAGGGCGAGGGAGTGAAGAGGGCGAGGGAGTGAAGAGGGTGAGGGAGTGAAGAGGGCGAGGGAGTGAAGAGGGCGAGGGAGTGAAGAGGGCGAGGGAGTGAAGAGGGCGAGGGAGTGAAGAGGGTGAGGGAGTGAAGAGGGTGAGGGAGTGAAGAGGGTGAGGGAGTGAAGAGGGTGAGGGAGTGAAGAGGGCGAGGGAGTGAAGAGGGTGAGAGAGTGAAGAGGGTGAGGGAGTGAAGAGGGTGAGGGAGTGAAGAGGGTGAGGGAGTGAAGAGGGTGAGGGAGTGAAGAGGGCGAGGGAGAGAAGAGGGCGAGAGAGTGAAGAGGGTGAGGGAGTGAAGAGGGTGAGGGAGTGAAGAGGGTGAGGGAGTGAAGAGGGTGAGGGAGTGAAGAGGGCGAGGGAGTGAAGAGGGCGAGGGAGTGAAGAGGGCGAGGGAGTGAAGAGGGTGAGGGAGTGAAGAGGGCGAGGGAGTGAAGAGGGCGAGGGAGTGAAGAGGGCGAGGGAGTGAAGAGGGCGAGGGAGTGAAGAGGGTGAGGGAGTGAAGAGGGTGAGGGAGTGAAGAGGGTGAGGGAGTGAAGAGGGTGAGGGAGAGATGCGAAAGTGAGAGAGACGAGGGCATCGGTAGGAGGAGGTGGGAGAGGGAATTCACTTAGGGTTGCGGGGAGAGAGGGGCTTACAGCGGATGCGAGATGGCGGGGAGCGGGAGCGGCGAGGTGGGGACATGGAGGGGCGGCGAGCAACACCACTGCAGAGAAGAGCCAAGGGGGGAGGAAAGGTTCAGGAGGGAAACTTATGAGCAGTTTTTTGTCACACTCAGGTGGGCGTTAAGTGAATTATGCAGTATTTTCGCATGCCTGCCTAGACAGTGTGAATGGTACCTTTCTTGACTGGCTGACCCTGCGGTTCAATCGTGCAACGGTCACATGCTTGACCCCAAGTTCAACAAACTTTTGTTTCGTGGTACAGTACTAATATAGAGGGGTACACTCGCACGCGTTTTTATCACATCCGTAGGGTTACCCGCCTCGAGGTCCAACACTTGGACCCCGCTTGCATATGATGCACCACGCCCTAACCGCTAGACACAGAAGTTGAAGTATATATACAGAATCTGCCTAGGAGTAACTGCGAACGAACCCAGGAGTGCAAGAGAAGGCTCACCCTCGGGTCCGGTCGCGGTCTCGCTCGAAGGAGGACTGGCGGAAGAACCCCCCGTCTCCCCGCCTGCGCACCTCCGACACCTTGATCGGCCGCCCGTCCACTATCTGGTGGTGCACCCGCCGCCACCGCACAGAGCAGCATGCGCAGCGCACACACACAACCAGCACACACAGCCACGGTTGCGTAAGCACAGCAAGGGGGAAGGGAAAAAAGAGCGTGGAGTAGCAAGATTGAGCATTGCTGAAGAGGGAAAAGAGGATCGATTCAGTCCAACGACTCCTTTCCTCTCCATCCATAAACTCCATTGCTCATCCTCCCCTGCACGGCCTACTAACACCCCTCCTCACCTCACCATCCATATACTTCAAAAGCTCGCCTCATCTCGCCGTGCATGCCTCACTTCGCCGTCCATGGCCTTAAAGCCCGCCTCATGGACTGAAAGCCTCACCTCGCCGTCCATGGCCTCACCTCGCCGTCCATGCCTCACCTCGCCGTCCATGGCCTTAAAGTCCACCTCACCTCGCCGTCCATGGCCTTAAAGCCCGCCTCACCTCGCCGTCCATGGCCTTGATGGCGTCCTGAGCTGCCTTGGGCGATGCGAAGGTGACGAAGCCGAAGCCCCTCGCCTTGCCCGTCTCCCTGTCGTATATCACCTGCGCGACACGGGCGACCGGCAACACGCAGGCAGGGACAAGCAGCACGGACGGAGAGCGATGTGTGAAGATTATGAAGGAATTTCGAGCCTTGTCTGTCTCCCTGGCGTAGATCACCTGCATACTACAGCAAAAGCAAGCGGCAGCAACACGCAGGCAGCAGCAAGCAGTAAGCCGCACGGACGGGGCGAGCAGACGAGGAGAGCCAAGGGATGATGTGACGATTACGACGATGAATCCGAAGCTCCCGCCTTGTCAGTGTCGCCTCCACGCAGCAAATGGTACAGGGAGCGGCGCGCTTACACTCGACGACGCACTCGCGAAATCGATCTAAAGCTCGACGAAGGTCGATCTTCGCGAAATGGCCGGGGAGAGGCGAGCAGCTCGTAACCGCGACGCCGAAGCTACAGTTGTGGTGGAGTCACCGTTACCGTTACCGTACGGACGAAATTTCCTTGGCGATGAAGCTACCTTCGCGGAAAGGACTTCGCCGAACTCTTCGAAGACCTTCTTGATGGCACCCTCGTCGCTGTCGAAGGGCAGCCCGCCCAGATACACCGTGTGCCCCTCCTCCGACGCCATGCTGCCGTCACACGCGTCGCAACCGTCGTACTCGTCGCACTCGTCGCCGGACTCACCGGGACAGGAAGACTAAAAAAACGGAAGGGGAGAGGCACGCTATGTAACTGGGTCGGAACGAGACAGTGGTTCGGACTAAGGGTGGAGAGGCAGAGGCGTGGAAGCCGAGTGTGGAGGGGGTCGTGGGGGTGAAGAGGAGATCTCTAGGTGGTGCTGCGTGTGATGGGTGGTGGGGCGCGATTAGAAGATCTCGAGGCCACAGCACAGGTATTGCGCGGCTCGCGCACTTCAGGCGACCTTCAGCAGGATTTCAAGGTCATCCCTTGAGAATCCACGTTCGATATTGACGACCTCGACAAATAAAATATTGTGAACATAACCAAAGTAGGTTTTACTCAGCACTGTTTTCTCTTCTGTCTTCATAACAAGCTATATAACGAGACAGATCTCACTTTCAATAATACCCATTACTTGATTACATCGTGTACGGAATTCCAAATCCAATACGTCCGCAAACCTCAACGATGGCGACTCACTACCATCCTCTACATCGTTACTCTTGCGCCGGCTCCCAACGCCCTGTTGTTGTGAAGTAATTGCTGCTGCTGGCATGGCTTGTGGGGCTGCAGGCAGCTTGGCATGAGGTAATGGTACTGCAGATTCACCACATAAGGATGGCATGGGATCCCGCACTGATGTCATGCAGTTGCGACATGGAGACGGCATGGCATCATGCACTGGTGTCCAAGAGCCACGCGTGTGTGATGCTGCAGCGTGGGGATGTGCTGCTCTCGCTCCGAGTTCTCTGCTTGACTCCACGTGGCGGCTAAACTGCTGCAGCAAGGACCGACGAGCCGCGTTCAGTGCTGCTGCCTGCTGCCTTCGTTTGTGTGCCGGGGCTGACGGCATGCCATGCACACAGGCACACGACATGGCACAGAAGAAAGAGATTTGACAGGCGTCGGGGGAGAATGGATCTTGGTTGGGGTGAGAGCAGTGGGCTTGCATGCATGATGCATTGCCAACCATGAGTCACCGCACCCAAGTTTTTCAGATAAAAAGCATCTGGTTATGGGAGAGCTTTGAATTTGGATTGACAAAAAAAAGAAAAGAAAAGAAAAGAAAAAACATACTTCGCACACCATGACATGAGCACGGAAAGCACACGGTCAAACTGATGGATGGGTAAGCGACAAACCTTTGCCCACCTGGGATGGATCTGCACCCTCGCCTAAAAACCCTTGCCCCCTGCGCTGAACCCACCCCCTGTTTGCGACTCACCCGCTGCACCTGACGACTGCCTCAAGGCCTCTGAGAGGAGCTTCCTCAGCCGCAGGTCAAACGCATGCACTGCACTCCTGCTGCTGCCGCTTGTGCTGCTGGCGCTGCTGCTGGTGGTGGCGCCGCTGCTGTGGGAGGCATGGGTGATAGCAGTGGGAAGGAAGCGGCGCCAGACGGAGAAGAGGGCTTCAAGGGCCCTTGCACTGCACGCAGGAGAGAGACATGGGGCAGGATATTTTTGAGGCGCCTCAAACATAGGCTTCATGGGCCCTTGCAATGCAATCAGGGGGAGAGAAAGGGCAGGGGGGAAGTGACGGGATTGATGGGTTAAGGGGCAGAAGTGGAGGGCAAGGGGTGGCAGCGAAAGGTTGGGCAGTGGTCAAGAGCTGCAGTCACAACGCATTTCCATTCCTTCACTCAGCCCCTTCTAACTCTTGCGCTCAATCATCTCATCCGCCACCCCCCTCCACCCCTCACATACTCACCCTCTCACCTCCCCTCCCTCACCTCACATCCGAAACCTCCCCCACAGCCACGCCACCCAAGTCCACCGCTACACACCGCCCCGCCTCCCACTCGCCCCGCCGCGACCAACACAGCACCCCAGAATCAGCAGCAGCAGCAGCTGTGCCATTGCCTCCCTCTCGCCCGCCCTCCTGCTCTCGCCCACGACCGCCTTCTGCCCCCCGCTTGTTCGCACTTCCCTCTTCTGCCCCCCGCTTGTTCGCACTTCCCTCTTCTGCCCCCCGCTTGTTCGCACTTCCCTCTTCTGCCCCCCGCTTGTTCGCACTTCCCTCTTCTGCCCCCCGCTTGTTCGCACTTCCCTCTTCTGCCCCCCGCTTGTTCGCACTTCCCTCTTCTGCCCCCCGCTTGTTCGCACTTCCCTCTTCTGCTCCCTCCGCAAACCCCCCCCCACGCACAGTCACCACAGGTACCCCCCTGGGAGGCTCAAGGCGGGCGGCGGTGCGGCGGATAACGGCGGGCGGCAGGCGGGCGGTGGGAAGGCGGTGCTCGTTGCGGGATATGCACTGGTCTAGGGGCGTGGTGACGTGAAGGATGAGACACGTGGCACCATCTGAGTGGGCAGGAAGCAGAGCGGATCGCACACATGCAGACAAAGTAGGGGGAAGAAAGGGGGAGGGGTGGGGAGGGGGGGGGGGTGTTTCAATGGGACCTATGAGATGGAAGCCCGTGTTTCAATCGATGCGTTCGACATGATCTTCTTGTACCTCAAAGAGGGGGCATGCATGGGACCACACAAGCTGGCATGCACGTAGGTATGCATGTGAACATGTATGCATGTGAACATGTATGCATGAGCACCGCGTGTCATCTCACATGAGTGAGCGAGTCGCAGCAGCTGCAGGCGCATGGAGCGCAGATGCATGGTGTCATCCGCAACCACCATGTGCGCCGGTACCCTCGCTTCCCACCCTGCTGCTGCCCGCACTGATGCTGTTGCCCCTGTTGTTTCTGGTGCATTTGCAAGAGCTACAGCAGCGTCGTCCCCGCCGCCACCCTGCAGTGCAGCAGCAGCGCTCTCACGGCCCCCTTGGCTGGCACATGCGAGGGCTGCGGTGAGTGCTGCGAGAGCCGTGACCCGACTGGCCTGGGCATGCATGGTGATGTATGCATGCGTGCATGGTGATGTATGCATGCGTGCATGGTGATGTATGCATGCGTGCATGGTGATATATGCATGCGTGGATGAGGGTATGCATGGATGGGGAAGGATGGTTGCGCAATGCACGGAACCGGATTGATCGACAATGTGTGGGGCGCCGTCAGAGAAGCAGAGCGCACGGAGCAGAGGGGTGGATGGAGGGAGGGAGGGAGCATAGGGGAGATGCGGAAGAGGCAAGTCAGTCCTGCCTGCCTCTGCCGCTGCTCGTGCTGCTGTGACAACGAGACGATGCGCATCACGAGCAGCACGAGCATCACGCCGATTGGAATCACAAAGTGCCTCAATCGTCCACGTCAGCAATCCTCACCTTCCACACATCGTGACTGAAAGCAGCACACGTGTCAGCATCAGGTCGTGGCATAAACGCAACGTCGCCCACACCCCCCTCCTCGCCCACACTGCCGTCTCTACCTGTGCCACGCGCGTAGCTGTCGAACGACACGACGGTCGTGTGTGTGCCTGCCTGCGCACACACAGGTTGCAGCGCACGTGGAATGAGCCGCATGCTGGGATGGACTGGGATGGTCGGGTTGAACATGAAGTTGGTTACAGGTGCGCGTGAGAGAGTACAAGGGAGTCATCGCGTAACAGGGTCGGGAACAGGGTAACCAGGCCACAAAGGGACGCGGCGTTTGAAGCAGGAAAAGTGGTGATCCGCATTGAGCGGCGCAGCAGAGTAACAACCGAGTTGGATTGGGAGGTGAAGGGAAGCGAGCGCGGTTGATCGCTCACCCGCCGTGCGAGATGCGCGAAGGCGGCGCACAGCGTGCTCTTGCCCGCGCCCGGCAGCCCCATCGCCACCACCAGGAGCGGGGACACGGGGAGCGGCGGGCTGGGCGGGGATGGAGGCGCAGCGAGCGGGACGATGGGGGCGAGGGGGGAGGGCAAGGCGGAGGGGGTGGTATCGGGAAGGGGGTCGGGGGAGGGCATGTGGGGGGTTTCCATTGTGTGTGGAATCAGAGCCCGTGGTGCCACCGATGGCTGGGCCAATTAGAGGCGGCAGAGATGGATGGTTGAACCTACATGGCGTAGAGACGGACGCGTGCCAAAAGTACAGAGGTGTGCTATTGCAATGGGTCCACGGTAAGTGATTTTAATCCGCGCCGCTAACGAGCGGTGAACCGACGAACTGATGGATTTCCTGGTCAAGCCTGCTTTGTGGTAACATGCAGATGCAGATGTAGAGTCTGCGTTGACGAAATTGAGTGTTCCAAACAATAACTCGCGAACTCGCAAGAAATCGCTAAGCTCCCAGAAGGGGATTTTGTTGGGGGACGAAAGTGGTGTGACATAGTTGCTACTCAACGAGATCGTGACGACCCTGTCCAGTCTCACAAACGCAAGCCGCCACGACGACGACAGGGTAACATAGTTCTTCGCAAGAGTCAGTTGGCGATAATTGAGACCCAAATCCCCGCCAAATATTGCTGTAACTTGAACCACAAGCAACCTATCGAATGTTTGTGCTGTACATTTGTGAAACCACGTTGTCAGACGTTGATGTCTGTATCGCATTTATCACAACATTTGTTTCCTAGATTCCAGCCGAACCATGACTTCTCTCGAGCTGCGTTGTGCCACGTGGAACTCCGCGCCACGTCACTTCCCCGCATCCGCGAATTCGTCTGTCGCGTCCCTTTCGACGCCAATCACGCTTGCCCCGCGTGTATCGGCGCCATCCTTGGTAGCGACAAGATTAAGATTCCGCGAATTCGGCGGTCGTAGCAGCTTTTATGGCAGCGATAGACTAAGATTAAGCATCTTGCCAGCTTGTCATACCGTCGGTAGGAAGGCTCGCAGGGCGGTGCGGCCAGTGGCCGCAGTTGGCGGCGGGGGATCCGGTGGGAATGACGCGGATGGGAGCGCGAGGCGGAAGAAGGACGAGAGCATTCAGCTGTACAGCCGTATCGAGAGGTGCGTGATTGGTGGAACCTGATAACTGGTAGGCATAACGAGGTAACGGATAGTTATTGGACAGCTCGTAGAACAGTGAAAGGTGATCATTTGCCTGGGCAAGCATGTCCGGCAGCAAAAAGGGCGACACGATAGGTGTGGCGGCAGGACGTGGTGGCACGATGGGAGGTATTCCCAGGTGCCAAGTTGCGTGCGCGGGAGGGAGCGTCCTGCTGAGTGCAGGCGCGTAGAGGTGTGGCATGTTCCACCCTCGTAGAACAGTGAAAGGTAATTCAGATGATGCATGTTCCACGCTCTCTCTTCCTGACCTGCCCCTGTTAAACTGTTTTTTCCCTCTTCCCTGTGCTCTTCGCTCCCTTTCTCTTTCCCCTCTCCCCCTTCCCCCCCCCCTCCCCCCCCCCCCCCCCTTCTTGTTTTCCACCTCATTCCCCAGCCTGATTTCTGAGTCTGCTCGGCAATCCCAGGGCGCTGACGCGGCAGGGCAGTGGGAGGAGGTGGAGGTAAGAGAGGGAGAGGGGAGGGGGAAACGGGAAGGGAAGAGAGAGGAAGCAGGGTACGATGTATTGATGTGTTGCATGCTATAACAATGAAGGACCATTCGAGGAAGCAGGGGAGGAGGATGTGGTGGAAAGAGAGTCGTGGGAGTGAGGGAGTGGGATATTGCAGGAGGGGATTGAGGTGACTTGTGGGCCATGCAATTGGCCCATGTTTGTTGTGACGGTGACAAGTGTAGTGCAACGCGCCATACCACTGCATTTCTCCCTCATCCCTTACCTCCTTCATGTTCCTGCCTCCACTCTCCTGTTTACCTTTTCCGATGCCATCCCTCTTTCCCCTCCCGACTTCCATCCTGTCTTCCATCCGCATTCGTATCGTATCCCTCCTTCTTCCCCTCACTAACAATCTTTCCTTGTTGCCCATCACAGGGAGCATGGGTGCTGCGCCCGCCAGCCCCCCTGCTGGCGACCGCATTGGTGCACTTAATAAGAGGGGCCTTCATTAGAGTCAACTTCAATAATCATCCCTATCTCCTCTGCTCACTCGCATGCTACCCTACTTTTTCCCCCACAGGGCGCATGGGTGCTGCGCCCGCCGGCCCCTCTGCAGGCGACAGCGGTGGTGCACTTCATAGGGGGGGCGTTCGTGGGCGCGTCCCCTCAACTCACCTACCGCCTCTTCCTCACCACGCTGGCACAGAGGTGTGAAGAGAATGCTGTCACTGCAATCCTGATTCGGCATTGGATGACACTCCTGAGCAGCTAAAAAAGCCGCAACAACCAGCCTGACGGGCTTGAGAATGGCGAACGCACGCTCGTTTTGCACGAGAAATGTACCTTCAGTTAGAGAAATTTTCCATTCCTTTCAGGTTGTAGTTTTAGTTGCCGTGTCGTAGGAATGTCAGGTGCCTACTGTCCTTATTCTTGAATCTTCTATCAAACAAGAAAGCATTAACAACTCATATTTTTCTCCTCCCTCCCTCATTCCCTCCCTCCCTCCCTCCCTCCCTCCCTCCCTCCCTCCCTCCCTCCCTCCCTCCCTCCCTCCCTCCCTCCCTCCCTCCCTCCCTACCTCCCTCCCACCCTACCTCTCTCTCTCCACCCACCCACCCTCCCACCCTCCCTCCCTCCCTCCCTCCCTCCCTCCTTCCCTCCCTCCCTCCCTCCCTCCCTCCCTCCCTCCCCCTTAATCGTCTTCCTCTTTCACAGGGGTCTGATGGTGGTCGCAACACCATACGCGAGTGGCTTTGACCATCTGAGGATCGCAGACGAGGCGCAGTTCAGATTCGACCGCTGCATGCGTTCCCTCTCGCTTAAAGCCCAGCCGCCCAACGATGTATGTGCTGTTGCTTAAAGCCACGCCACCCAATGATGTATGTGCTGTTGCTTGAAGCCACGCCACCCAATGATGTATGTGCTGTTGCTTAAAGCTGTCAGTCAGTCAGACGTACGCTCTGTGTATAAATTCAGTGACTCATGCACAGAGCTCACACTCTCACCCCATGCGCCATGTCCCAACCCGTGACTCGATTGTTCTCCCATGCTCCCCACCCATGCACCCCATTCATGCATGGCATGCCACCATCAGCCCATGGACCTGCCAGTGTACGGCGTGGGGCACTCCATGGGCGCCCTCGTGCATCTCCTCATTGGTACGCACCGCTTTGCTTTTCCATCAACCCACCCTGCCTTTCCCCTCCCTGTCTCCCTGCCTTTGTCTCTCCGCATTTCTATTTTCCTCTCCATGTCGCAAAACCTGTTTGTTGATTGTTTCACTTCTGTCCCGGAGAGCACTCGCAGCTGTGTTGCAAGCCCTTATCCCTGTGAACCGCACCTCCGTTTTCGTCCTCCCTTTGCCACTAACTATTATCTCCTCTCTGTCTTCCCCTCTTGTCATATCCTCCTGACCCCCCCTACTGCCATACCCGTCTGGCCTCCATATAAGGTGCTCGCTACGCCGTGGAGAGAGCTGGAAACGTCTTTCTCTCCTTCAACAACAAGGTACCTCTATGGTCCTCCTCGTTCCTCTTCCCTCGCCCCTCTCCCCCATCACCATGTCCCGGCCAGTCAAACGATGTACGGGGGTATTTGTGTCATTTCTATTCATATTGAGGGTCCACATTACATTATTCGGTCCTCGTTCTTTGGCTGTTCGCGCTGTTCTCGCCGGTCATCATGCCCATGGTGCAGAGTCTCGGCCCCATCCTCTCACCCCTCTCTCCCCCCTGAAATAACCCCCCTTCCTCCCCACCAATGCAGGAGGCCAGTGCGGCCATACCACTGTTCTCGCCGGTCATCATGCCCATGGCGCAGAGCCTCGGCCCCATCCTCACGCAGCTGCTCAACAACCCCACCCTCAAACTCGGGGTCCGTGCCACGCCTCGCATCCCTTCTCTCCTTCTCCCTTTTCCATCCACCCTCAGCGCATGCAAACCAATCAAATCGTCTGCTCTTGCATCACTGTTTTCCAACACACTTGTCTTCCCACCTGCCTTGCAGCCTGCCCATCTGCCGTCCATTTACTGTGAACCTGCTCCCCTACAATCCTCCCAGCTCCTCCCCGTCTCCTGTCTCCTCATCCCCTATCTCCTCTCTCCCCTCCCCATGCCGCCCCAGGCTGACGTGGCAGTGAAGCAGCTGAGGGATCTCAACGCACCAATGGTGGCACAGCTGCTGCCGCTGCTGGAGCAGCTGCCACCGCTGTACCGCGACCTCTCTGATGGCCGTGATCAGTTCACACCTGCTCCAGCTGAGACCCGCCGCCTGGTGAGAGATTCATCCTAGGTGGCACCAGGCCTGGTCAGGGCAGTGCACACCGCACCAGGCGCTGGGAGGAGTTTTATTTCTAGGCGACACTAGGCACTGTCAGTTCAGTTCACACCCGCACCAGGTAAGACCCTCCTCCTACCCCGCTCACACACCTGTCCTAGTCATTCAACTGGTACACTGCAAGGTGGGTGCGCTTTGGAAAAGACACTTGTTCTCAGGCACTATAGAGCCACCTGCTGGTTTCCCTCCCCACTGTCCCTGCCCACCATCAGACCAACGCAAACCACGGCATGTAGCAGAACCATCAGAACCCTTTAGACCCACCTGTCTCCCTCCTTCCTCCCTCCGCTCCTCCCTGCCCACCACCAGGCCCAGAGCGCTGCGCAACCTGCTCGTGCACATACTAAAAAATCAACTGCGCCCAGGCACCGAAGAGCCACCTGCTATCCCCCCCCCCCCCCCCCCCCCCCCCTTTCCCTTCCCCGCCCACTGCCAGGCCCAGTCGTACTACGGGGTGCGGCGCAACCTGCTGGTGCGCTTTGGAAAAGACCTTGCGCCCAGACACCATAGAGCCACCTGCTATCTCCCCCCTCCCTTTCCCTTCCCCTTCGATCCTCAGGCCCAGACATACTACGGGGTGCGGCGCAACCTGCTGGTGCGATTCAAGGATGACACCATCGATGAGACCGCTGACCTGGCGGACACGCTGGCAGCGGGCAGCGCTGTGTCAGCGTGCCTTGACCTCGCCATGCGCACGCTGCCAGGCGACCACGTGCGCCCGCTGCGCCAGGTATGCCACGTGGCATGAATCTGAGTTACCCTGAAGGTAGAAATCCTGCAGGCTGTCTCACGTATCCGCTGCATCACTTCTGCTCCAACCACCACAGCCCCCCCCGCCCATGGTTCGGGGCCTCATTCTTTGCCACCCGCACCGCTTTGCGTCACTTTTCATGCCGCCCTGCACCCCCAACCTGGGGCCCCCTTGGTGTCATCGGTGGTGCAGGTGGTTCCCGAGATTCCGCAGTCTGTCGCTGACGTGGTCTCGCGAGGCAGCTCCCTGCTCGCGTCCATGACAGCTGGCACGCCGCTCGCTGACCTGGCACGCGGCGTCAGCGACACCTTGACAGGGGCAGTGGGTCTGGGAGGCGAGGGGGAGGGGGCCGGAGGGGGCATGGGAGGGGGCATGGGAAGGATGCAGCGGGACGTGAGGGAGGACATGGAGCAGCTGGTGGATGAGGTCGCGCCGTTCATGGGTGCGCTCACTCGCCCTTCCACGGAGTCGCCACGGTTGCTGCCACGGATATGATGGAGTCTCTATGGTATGGTTAATGAGATGTTTTTGTTTTATTGGGGGAGTGCGTTCTAGCGGTGAACATTGGTGAGTAAGATTCTTCATTATAGTCTTTTCTGTAGTCTCTACATGGGGTGGTTATCTATTAGTACAGGATATGTAAAGCGTTATCTATTAGTACAAGATATGTAAAGCGGTATAGTACTAAAACTGTAGTGTACCCACCGAACAACCACAGGTTGTGTTGGTGCATCTGAATCTTGCTCGAGTCATTCCAGATGTAGGGCAAACGTCCAGATGCAGCTAATCGCAAAAAGCTCCGGCCGAGCCGCGGTGCGGCACGCTGCCCGACAGCTTCACCGCTAAACGCGGCAACGCTTTCCCACCACTCTCTCTCCTCTCTCTTCAGTCCCACACCGCGCATGCTCTTTGTTCAAAGTTCATACTCTACGACAGCATCTTTTTAGCGGTTACGTGACCCGCTGGTCCCTAACTTCCGTGTGGACTCCTTAGCTCTCATGCGAACCTTGATTACCACTGACACAGACGAGAGGCGTATGGATTGATTTCGAAGCCCCAGCTTCGCTGTGAAATCGCAGACTGTCGATTACAGTCTACCTTTGAGGCTTCGGGAGGTGTTAAACAGTTGCATAGATTGTTAAGTCTCTGCTGCGTTCCACGACTGAACATCAAACCCCATTACCGTTGACGGTCAACCGCGATGTCTCGCGCCACGGACTCCGATTCTCAAGCGTCGTCGTTACCAGCGTCAATATCGCACTCGACGCAATGTGCGGAAGCTCATTCGACCGAATCCCCGTCCCCAGCGGCCGCACCTTTGCCGTTCGATCAATGGTTCGGCAGTTTCGACGCTGACGTGTCCGCGTCGCTCCCGAAAGCCGGAATCGACATCGTGGAGATTGTACGCGATAGAGGCATCTCCAAGGCTGTGGATGTAAGTCGACACGCGAAACAGTGCTAGACGCTCTGCATGGAAATGAAAGAAACGAATGGGCCCTTGGACAGTGAACAGCAACCAAAAGTTTGGAAAAACAAATTGTGAAACGCGAACAGTGAAGGACGAAGAAGTGGCCGTGGAGGAGCGAACGATAGCAATGTTCAGCTGAGAATGGACAATGAAAATGGAAGACAGCAAGGACGAGCCATAAGCTTCTGAGACAGTCACTCCGAGCTGACTGACCGAGCGTTGACTGGGAGCTGACTGACTGAGCGTTGACTGGGAGCTGACTGACTGAGCGTTGACTGGGAGCTGACCGACTAGGGACTGGGGTGGGCTAGGGGTTGACCGTGAGTTGACCGAGCATTGACTGAACTGTCCCTGGATCGTATCCTCATTTCACTCTCGTGCCTTCCCATGTCCCATGCTTCTTATCCGTGCCACCATTTCCCCCATGCCCATACCCCATGCCCTAAGCCCCAAACCTCATGCCCCATGCCCATACCCCATGCCCTAAGCCCCAAACCTCATGCCCCATGCCCATACCCCATGCCCCATCCGTGTGTCATTTCCCCCCCATACCCCATGCCCCAAACCCATACCCCATGCCCCAAACCCATGCCTCATACCCCATGCCCCATGCCCCATACCCCATCCCCATGCCCCATGCCCCATACCCCATGCCCCATGCCGCATACCCCATGCCCCATACCCCATGCCCCATGCCGCATACCCCATGCCCCATGCCCATGCCCATGCCCCCAGGTGCCTTATTTCGACCTGCCCGAGCGGGTGATCAGGTCAGCTTCTGATTGGTTGGCGACGCAGGGCAGCAAAGACCTGGCAGCAGTGGCAGCTTTGCTCATCCACGTGGCACTGCATGATAGGCCGCCAAGCGACCACGTGTCCATCTCCAAGGCAAGCTCTGAGCACGTTCCCATGTGTTGTTTGCGATAGCATGAGTGGAAGGAACCAAGGATAATGCTCTGCTCACCGTGATAATGCCCGCCTCGCATACACATGGATTCAATTCCTCCTCTCACCACCTAGGGGGGTTGCGTGCCCGAATCAGAAAGGAGAGGAAGAGCGCGAGCCCGTCGTGTATCTGCCACGCGTCAGCTTCTGCTCTCACCTCACGGAACCCACTCATGTACTCCCCGCCGTTGCTCATCCACCATCCATGCCCGCTCATCTCAACCGCCTTTCTGCCCCGCTCGCTTCTCTTGATGTGGCGCGTCAACCCCCATCATAACCTTTCGTGCCATCCCAGCCTGTTCATACCACCCCCGCATCCCCCTGTCAAGACGCTCCAACCCCCGCTTCTACCCTTGTGTACCACCCAACCCTTTCACACCACCCCCAACACCTCCCTGGCAGGATGCGGCTCTTGCACTGCTCGCCATTCTCCTGCGCCTGCGACCCGCCACTCTCCAACAAGTGCCCGACGCGCTGCTGCCGCCCATAAAAGACAAACAAAGGCCGTCCAGTGCACAGCAGCCGCCCACCAAGGATGGTGCTTCAGCAGGCAGCCACGTGGCAGAGGGGGATAGGCTGGCGATCCTTGCATGGATATACGGGCAGGTGGGTTAAACAAAGTCGATGGGCTTTGTGCGTGAGCCTGCACTGGCCGTCACAGTGCTCTCAGCCTGCACTGGCCGTCACAGTGCTCTCAGCCTGCACTGGCCGTCACAGTGCTCTCAGCCTGCACTGGCCGTCACAGTGCTCTCAGCCTGCACTGGCCGTCACAGTGCTCTCAGCCTGCACTGGCCGTCACAGTGCTCTCAGCCTGCACTGGCCGTCACAGTGCTCTCAGCCTGCACTGGCCGTCACAGTGCTCTCAGCCTGCACTGGCCGTCACAGTGCTCTCAGCCTGCACTGGCCGTCACAGTGCTCTCAGCCTGCACTGGCCGTCACAGTGCTCTCAGCCTGCACTGGCCGTCACAGTGCTCTCAGCCTGCTCACCCATCTGTGCTCCTCTCCTCTTCTCCTTTGCTCCCGCGCCCATGGCCTGTTTGCCTTGTGTCTTCCTCCACCGCTTATTCACCCCTATCTCCCCCTAAATCCATCTCAACCGCGCCATGCCCTGTCTCTCCTCTCTCTCCTCTCTCTCCTCTCTCTCCTCTCTCTCCTCTCTCTCCTCTCTCTCCTCTCTCTCCTCTCTCTCCTCTCTCACCTCTCTCCTCTCTCTCCTCTCTCTCCTCTCTCTCCTCTCTCACCTCTCTCCTCTCTCTCTTCTCTCTCCTGTCTCGCCCTGGTGCAGGCAGCGAGGGCGGACAGGGTAGCGGGCATGTCGCTCTTCATCCACTGCCTGCTGCCACCTGCACTTCATTCGGACGCTTCCCCCGCCTGCACGCACCTCGCCCTCTGCTTCCTAGAGGAGTGAGTGCCCCGCTCCCACCCCCTGCCTGTTGTCGCCCTCTGTCTCCTCGAGCATTCAATTCTGGAGAATCGCAAAGAGGCCCTGCTGTCTCCCTCTGCTTTCTCGGGTATGCGGATCCGCACAGGGGCTCTGTGAGGGGCGGATTGTGTGGCATCGTGCCAAAAGCCCTCTGGTCCTCCTGGTCTACAGGCGTCTCAACAACAGACTGCTCCCTCCCTCAACCCTCCTAACCTCTGTGTGCACCACAGGGTGGTGTTGGAGAATCGCAGGAAGGCATATGCAGAGCTGCACAGGGGTGCTGTGAGGGGCAGGTTGCGTCTCATGGTGCCAAAGCCCCTCTGGTCCTCCTGGTCTCTCAACATTCGACTGTTCCCTCCCTTTAATCCTCCTAACCCTGTGTGTGCACCGCAGGGTGGTGTTGGAGAATCGCAGGAAGGCATATGCAGAGCTGCACAGGGGCGCCGTGAGGGGTGGGCTGCGCCTCGTGCCGCCTGAGGCTCTCCATTCCTTCCTTCTCGCCGCCTTCCCTGCCAAGGGCGACTGCACCGAGGTGTGTTGAGGGTGGGTGGTGGGTGCACGCACACATGCAGACACCCGCGAGGGGCAGCAGCTAATGCTCGCACACGCAGCATCACTGGTCAATTCTATAGGTACTGCCTGCAAGGCTGCAAACATCAAACCACTCACTCAAGCAACATTCACAACCTCATGTCCTGGCCTAGACATGTACCAACCTCATCCCCCTCCTCCCCCCCCCCTTACCGCCACAGTGTCTCAACCCTTTCTACTGCCCTCTCTTCTGCCCCGCCTCTCTTTCTCCAGTTCACCCCCCGCTTCGCCCACGTGTACCTGATATTGAAGCAGCTGGCGAATCTAAAGCCATTCTCTCTGGGGAATCCTCCCAGACCCACTCACGAATATCCCGACCCCTACTCCCTCGCTCTCTTCCCCTCCTCCCCTTCCCCCTCCAGTTCACCCCATGCTTCGCCCACGTGTATCTGATAGTGAAGCAGCTATCGTATCTGACAGTGAAGCAGCTATCGTATCTGACAGTGAAGCAGCTATCGTATCTGACAGTGAAGCAGCTATCGTATCTGACAGTGAAGCAGCTATCGTATCTGACAGTGAAGCAGCTATCGTATCTGACAGTGAAGCAGCTATCGTATCTGACAGTGAAGCAGCTATCGTATCTGACAGTGAAGCAGCTATCGTATCTGACAGTGAAGCAGCTATCGTATCTGACAGTGAAGCAGCTATCGTATCTGACAGTGAAGCAGCTATCGTATCTGACAGTGAAGCAGCTATCGTATCTGACAGTGAAGTAGCTATCGTATCTGACAGTGAAGCAGCTATCATATCTGACAGTGAAGCAGCTGGTGCTCGTGAAAGCCGTTCCTTCTGGAAACTCCTCCGAGGGTCACTCATGGGTTAGCCCTGCGCTTACTGTCCCTCTTCCATGCCCCCACCCCCTCCAGTTCACTCCCCGTTTCGCCCACGCGTACCTGATAGTGAAGCAGCTGGCGCTAGTGAAGGGCACCATCACGGGGGACGCTGGCGACTCTGAGGCCGCCTCACAGGCCTCCCTTGCCCGTGCCCAGTCCAGCCAGGAAGCTGCAGAGAAGCTGCTTCCTCTCATGTTTGACGCTTCACGAGAGGGTGAGAGGGGGTGGGGGAGGGGGCGACAAGGGAAATCAAAGGAAAGGAGGGGGATCAAGGGGAGGGAGAAATTTCCTTGTTGGGCTGATAAGGGGGGTTTGAGAGTGAGAAGGTTGGCTGAGAGAGGCTGAAATGGGGAGGCTGGATTGGGAGGTTCCGGAAAAACGATGTCTTAAAGTTGGAGGGTGAAATCTGATGACTCTTACCTTCCCAGCACCTTTGGCACGTGCACATGTCTCCATCCTACTCTGATATTTCCGCTCCATGCATGTCCCAAGGGCTCAGCTCTTCTCCTCCCTTGCCCGGCGAGCAAGCAGGCTCAGAGGAGACTCAGAAGGACTCTTGAGGCGCATTAGAAACGGTTGCTTGCATGTCCTAACGTGTGTGAGCTGCTCCCCCATGCCGTGCTTGCATGTCCTAACGTGTGTGAGCTGCTCCCCCATGCCGTGCTTGCATGTCCTAACGTGTGTGAGCTGCTCCCCCATGCCGTGCTTGCATGTCCTAACGTGTGTGAGCTGCTCCCCCATGCCGTGCTTGCATGTCCTAACGTGTGTGAGCTGCTCCCCCATGCCGTGCTTGCATGTCCTAACGTGTGTGAGCTGGTCCCCCATGCCGTGCTTGCATGTCCTAACGTGTGTGAGCTGGTCCCCCATGCCGTGCTTGCATGTCCTAACGTGTGTGAGCTGCTCCCCCATGCCGTGCTTGCATGTCCTAACGTGTGTGAGCTGCTCCCCCATGCCGTGCTTGCATGTCCTAACGTGTGTGAGCTGGTCCCCCATGCCGTGCTTGCATGTCCTAACGTGTGTGAGCTGCTCCCCCATGCCGTGCTTGCATGTCCTAACGTGTGTGAGCTGCTCCCCCATGCCGTGCTTGCATGTCCTAACGTGTGTGAGCTGCTCCCCCATGCCGTGCTTGCATGTCCTAACGTGTGTGAGCTGGTCCCCCATGCCGTGCTTGCATGTCCTAACGTGTGTGAGCTGCTCCCCCATGCCGTGCTTGCATGTCCTAACGTGTGTGAGCTGCTCCCCCATGCCGTGCTTGCATGTCCTAACGTGTGTGAGCTGGTCCCCCATGCCGTGCTTGCATGTCCTAACGTGTGTGAGCTGCTCCCCCATGCCGTGCTTGCATGTCCTAACGTGTGTGAGCTGCTCCCCCATGCCGTGCTTGCATGTCCTAACGTGTGTGAGCTGCTCCCCCATGCCGTGCTTGCATGTCCTAACGTGTGAGAGCTGCTCCCCCATGCCGTGCTTGCATGCATGCATGCAGGGTCGGAGGAGGCGAGGGAGGAGGCGGGTGCCATCGTGGTGTGGTGCCTCATTGAGAACCCTGCCTGCTACTCCCAATGGGTGTGTGCCATGCCATGCCATGCCGTGCCACGCCGTCCCATGCTGTGCAATGCCATACCATACCGTGCCATGCCATACCATACCGTGCCATACCATACCGTGCCATGCCATACCATACCGTGCCATACCATACCGTGCCATGCCATACCATACCGTGCCATGCCATACCATACCGTGCCATGCCATACCATACCGTGCCATACCATACCGTGCCATGCCATACCATACCGTGCCATACCATACCGTGCCATGCCATACCATACCGTGCCATGCCATACCATACCGTGCCATGCCATACCATACCGTGCCATACCATACCGTGCCATGCCATACCATACCGTGCCATACCATACCGTGCCATGCCATACCATACCGTGCCATGCCATACCATACCGTGCCATGCCATACCATACTGTTCCGTGCCATACCATACCGTGCCATGCCATACCATACCGTGCCATGCCATACCATACCGTGCCATGCCATACCATACCGTGCCATGCCATACCATACCGTGCCATGCCATACCATACCGTGCCATGCCATACCATACCGTTCCGTGCCATACCATACCGTGCCATGCCATGCCATACCGTGCCATGCCATACCATACCGTTCCATGCCATACCATACCGTTCCGTGCCATACCATACCGTTCCGTGCCATACCATACCGTGCCATGCCATACCATACCGTGCCATGCCATACCATACCGTTCCATGCCATACAATACCGTTCCGTGCCATACCATACCGTTCCATGCCATACCATACCGTTCCATGCCATACCATACCGTTCCATGCCTTGCCGTGTTTTGGATGGTTGTTTTCGGTGCGCTCTGCATGCCTGCGCCTGCTTTCTCGACCATGTGCTGATCTGCTCATCGTCTGCCACTGCCCGCCCATCACCACCCACCACAACGCACCTTCCATCCCAACGCACCATCCGCCCATGTCAACGCACCATCCGCCCATGTCAACGCACCATCCGCCCATGTCAATGCACCATCCGCCCATGTCAACGCACCATCCGCCCATGTCAACGCACCATCCGCCCATGTCAATGCACCATCCGCCCATGTCAACGCACCATCCGCCCATGTCAATGCACCATCCGCCCATGTCAACGCACCATCCGCCCATGTCAATGCACCATCCGCCCATGTCAACGCACCATCCGCCCATGTCAACGCACCATCCGCCCATGTCAACGCACCATCCGCCCATGTCAACGCACCATCCGCCCATGTCAACGCACCATCCGCACATGTCAACGCACCATCCGCCCATGTCAACGCACCATCCGCCCATGTCAACGCACCATCCGCCCATGTCAACGCACCATCCGCCCATGTCAACGCACCATCCGCCCATGTCAACGCACCATCCGCCCATGTCAACGCACCATCCGCCCATGTCAACGCACCATCCGCCCATGTCAACGCACCATCCGCCCATGTCAACGCACCATCCGCCCATGTCAACGCACCATCCGCCCATGTCAACGCACCATCCGCCCATGTCAATGCACCATCCTCCCATGTCAACGCACCATCCGCCCATGTCAATGCACCATCCGCCCATGTCAACGCACCATCCGCCCATGTCAACGCACCATCCGCCCATGTCAACGCACCATCCGCCCATGTCAACGCACCATCCGCCCATGTCAACGCACCATCCGCCCATGTCAATGCACCATCCGCCCATGTCAACGCACCATCCGCCCATGTCAATGCACCATCCGCCCATGTCAACGCACCATCCGCCCATGTCAATGCACCATCCGCCCATGTCAACGCACCATCCGCCCATGTCAACGCACCATCCGCCCATGTCAACGCACCATCCGCCCATGTCAACGCACCATCCGCCCATGTCAACGCACCATCCGCCCATGTCAACGCACCATCCGCCCATGTCAATGCACCATCCTCCCATGTCAACGCACCATCCGCCCATGTCAATGCACCATCCGCCCATGTCAACGCACCATCCGCCCATGTCAACGCACCATCCGCCCATGTCAACGCACCATCCGCCCATGTCAATGCACCATCCGCCCATGTCAACGCACCATCCGCCCATGTCAACGCACCATCCGCCCATGTCAACGCACCATCCTCCCATGTCAACGCACCATCCGCCCATGTCAACGCACCATCCGCCCATGTCAACGCACCATCCGCCCATGTCAATGCACCATCCTCCCATGTCAACGCACCATCCGCCCATGTCAATGCACCATCCGCCCATGTCAATGCACCATCCGCCCATGTCAACGTCACGCCATCCGCCCATGTCAACGCACCATCCGCCCATGTCAACGCACCATCCGCCCATGTCAACGCACCATCCGCCCATGTCAACGCACCATCCGCCCATGTCAAGGCACCATCCGCCCATGTCAAGGCACCATCCGCCCATGTCAATGCACCATCCGCCCATGTCAACGCACCATCCGCCCATGTCAATGCACCATCCGCCCATGTCAACGCACCATCCGCCCATGTCAATGCACCATCCGCCCATTTCAACGCACCATCCGCCCATGTCAACGCACCATCCGCCCATGTCAACGCACCATCCGCCCATGTCAACGCACCATCCGCCCATGTCAACGCACCATCCGCCCATGTCAACGCACCATCCTCCCATGTCAACGCACCATCCGCCCATGTCAATGCACCATCCGCCCATGTCAACGCACCATCCGCCCATGTCAATGCACCATCCGCCCATGTCAACGCACCATCCGCCCATGTCAACGCACCATCCGCCCATGTCAACGCACCATCCGCCCATGTCAACGCACCATCCGCCCATGTCAACGCACCATCCGCCCATGTCAACGCACCATCCGCCCATGTCAACGCACCATCCGCCCATGTCAATGCACCATCCTCCCATGTCAACGCACCATCCGCCCATGTCAACGCACCATCCGCCCATGTCAACGCACCATCCGCCCATGTCAACGCAACATCCGCCCATGTGAACGCACCCTCCGCCCATGTCAATGCACCATCCGCCCATGTCAACGCACCATCCGCCCATGTCAACGCACCATCCGCCCATGTCAACGCACCATCCGCCCATGTCAACGCACCATCCGCCCATGTCAACGCACCATCCGCCCATGTCAACGCACCATCCGCCCATGTCAATGCACCATCCGCCCATGTCAACGCACCATCCGCCCATGTCAATGCACCATCCGCCCATGTCAACGCACCATCCGCCCATGTCAATGCACCATCCGCCCATGTCAACGCACCATCCGCCCATGTCAACGCACCATCCGCCCATGTCAACGCACCATCCGCCCATGTCAACGCACCATCCGCCCATGTCAAGGCACCATCCGCCCATGTCAACGCACCATCCGCCCATGTCAATGCACCATCCGCCCATGTCAACGCACCATCCGCCCATGTCAATGCACCATCCGCCCATGTCAACGCACCATCCGCCCATGTCAATGCACCATCCGCCCATTTCAACGCACCATCCGCCCATGTCAACGCACCATCCGCCCATGTCAACGCACCATCCGCCCATGTCAACGCACCATCCGCCCATGTCAACGCACCATCCGCCCATGTCAATGCACCATCCTCCCATGTCAACGCACCATCCGCCCATGTCAATGCACCATCCGCCCATGTCAACGCACCATCCGCCCATGTCAATGCACCATCCTCCCATGTCAACGCACCATCCGCCCATGTCAATGCACCATCCGCCCATGTCAACGCACCATCCGCCCATGTCAACGCACCATCCGCCCATGTCAACGCACCATCCGCCCATGTCAATGCACCATCCGCCCATGTCAACGCACCATCCGCCCATGTCAACGCACCATCCGCCCATGTCAACGCACCATCCTCCCATGTCAACGCACCATCCGCCCATGTCAACGCACCATCCGCCCATGTCAACGCACCATCCGCCCATGTCAATGCACCATCCTCCCATGTCAACGCACCATCCGCCCATGTCAATGCACCATCCGCCCATGTCAATGCACCATCCGCCCATGTCAACGCACCATCCGCCCATGTCAACGCACCATCCGCCCATGTCAACGCACCATCCGCCCATGTCAACGCGCCATCCGCCCATGTCAACGCACCATCCGCCCATGTCAATGCACCATCCGCCCATGTCAACGCACCATCCGCCCATGTCAATGCACCATCCGCCCATGTCAACGCACCATCCGCCCATGTCAATGCACCATCCGCCCATGTCAACGCACCATCCGCCCATGTCAACGCACCATCCGCCCATGTCAACGCACCATCCGCCCATGTCAACGCACCATCCGCCCATGTCAACGCACCATCCGCCCATGTCAACGCACCATCCGCCCATGTCAACGCACCATCCGCCCATGTCAATGCACCATCCTCCCATGTCAACGCACCCCGCCCATGTCAATGCACCATCCGCCCATGTCAACGCACCATCCGCCCATGTCAACGCACCATCCGCCCATGTGAACGCACCCTCCGCCCATGTCAATGCACCATCCGCCCATGTCAACGCACCATCCGCCCATGTCAACGCACCATCCGCCCATGTCAACGCACCATCCGCCCATGTCAACGCACCATCCGCCCATGTCAATGCACCATCCGCCCATGTCAACGCACCATCCGCCCATGTCAATGCACCATCCGCCCATGTCAACGCACCATCCGCCCATGTCAATGCACCATCCGCCCATGTCAACGCACCATCCGCCCATGTCAACGCACCATCCGCCCATGTCAACGCACCATCCGCCCATGTCAACGCACCATCCGCCCATGTCAACGCACCATCCGCCCATGTCAACGCACCATCCGCCCATGTCAACGCACCATCCGCCCATGTCAACGCACCATCCGCCCATGTCAACGCACCATCCGCCCATGTCAACGCACCATCCGCCCATGTCAACGCACCATCCGCCCATGTCAATGCACCATCCGCCCATGTCAATGCACCATCCGCCCATGTCAACGCACCATCCGCCCATGTCAACGCACCATCCGCCCATGTCAACGCACCATCCGCCCATGTCAACGCACCATCCGCCCATGTCAACGCACCATCCGCCCATGTCAACGCACCATCCGCCCATGTCAATGCACCATCCGCCCATGTCACACACCATCCGCCCATGTCAATGCACCATCCGCCCATGTCAATGCACCATCCGCCCATGTCAACGCACCATCCGCCCATGTCAACGCACCATCCGCCCATGTCAATGCACCATCCGCCCATGTCAACGCACCATCCGCCCATGTCAACGCACCATCCGCCCATGTCAACGCACCATCCGCCCATGTCAACGCACCATCCGCCCATGTCATCGCACCATCCGCCCATGTCAACGCACCATCCGCCCATGTCAACGCACCATCCGCCCATGTCAACGCACCATCCTCCCATGTCAACGCACCATCCGCCAATGTCAACGCACCATCCGCCCATGTCAACGCACCATCCGCCCATGTCAATGCACCATCCTCCCATGTCAACGCACCATCCGCCCATGTCAATGCACCATCCGCCCATGTCAACGCACCATCCGCCCATGTCAACGCACCATCCGCCCATGTCAACGCACCATCCGCCCATGTCAATGCACCATCCTCCCAAGTCAACGCACCATCCGCCCATGTCAATGCACCATCCGCCCATGTCAACGCACCATCCGCCCATGTCAACGCACCATCCGCCCATGTCAACGCACCATCCGCCCATGTCAACGCACCATCCGCCCATGTCAACGCACCATCCGCCCATGTCAACGCACCATCCGCCCATGTCAATGCACCATCCTCCCATGTCAACGCACCATCCGCCCATGTCAATGCACCATCCGCCCATGTCAATGCACCATCCGCCCATGTCAACGCATCATCCGCCCATGTCAACGCACCATCCTCCCATGTCAACGCACCATCCGCCCATGTCAACGCACCATCCGCCCATGTCAACGCACCATCCGCCCATGTCAACGCACCATCCGCCCATGTCAACGCACCATCCGCCCATGTCAACGCACCATCCGCCCATGTCAACGCACCATCCGCCCATGTCAATGCACCATCCGCCCATGTCAATGCACCATCCGCCCATGTCAACGCACCATCCGCCCATGTCAACGCACCATCCGCCCATGTCAACGCACCATCCGCCCATGTCAATGCACCATCCTCCCATGTCAACGCACCATCCGCCCATGTCAATGCACCATCCGCCCATGTCAACGCACCATCCGCCCATGTCAACGCACCATCCGCCCATGTCAACGCACCATCCGCCCATGTCAATGCACCATCCTCCCAAGTCAACGCACCATCCGCCCATGTCAATGCACCATCCGCCCATGTCAACGCACCATCCGCCCATGTCAACGCACCATCCGCCCATGTCAACGCACCATCCGCCCATGTCAACGCACCATCCGCCCATGTCAACGCACCATCCGCCCATGTCAACGCACCATCCGCCCATGTCAATGCACCATCCTCCCATGTCAACGCACCATCCGCCCATGTCAATGCACCATCCGCCCATGTCAACGCACCATCCGCCCATGTCAACGCACCATCCGCCCATGTCAATGCACCATCCGCCCATGTCAACGCACCATCCGCCCATGTCAACGCACCATCCGCCCATGTCAACGCACCATCCGCCCATGTCAACGCACCATCCGCCCATGTCAACGCACCATCCGCCCATGTCAACGCACCATCCGCCCATGTCAACGCACCATCCTCCCATGTCAACGCACCATCCGCCCATGTCAATGCACCATCCGCCCATGTCAACGCACCATCCGCCCATGTCAATGCACCATCCGCCCATGTCAACGCACCATCCGCCCATGTCAACGCACCATCCGCCCATGTCAACGCACCATCCGCCCATGTCAACGCACCATCCGCCCATGTCAACGCACCATCCGCCCATGTCAACGCACCATCCGCCCATGTCAATGCACCATCCTCCCATGTCAACGCACCATCCGCCCATGTCAATGCACCATCCGCCCATGTCAACGCACCATCCGCCCATGTCAACGCACCATCCGCCCATGTCAATGCACCATCCGCCCATGTCAACGCACCATCCGCCCATGTCAACGCACCATCCGCCCATGTCAACGCACCATCCGCCCATGTCAACGCACCATCCGCCCATGTCAACGCACCATCCGCCCATGTCAACGCACCATCCGCCCATGTCAACGCACCATCCTCCCATGTCAACGCACCATCCGCCCATGTCAATGCACCATCCGCCCATGTCAACGCACCATCCGCCCATGTCAACGCACCATCCGCCCATGTGAACGCACCCTCCGCCCATGTCAATGCACCATCCGCCCATGTCAACGCACCATCCGCCCATGTCAACGCACCATCCGCCCATGTCAACGCACCATCCGCCCATGTCAACGCACCATCCGCCCATGTCAATGCACCATCCGCCCATGTCAACGCACCATCCGCCCATGTCAATGCACCATCCGCCCATGTCAACGCACCATCCGCCCATGTCAACGCACCATCCGCCCATGTCAACGCACCATCCGCCCATGTCAACGCACCATCCGCCCATGTCAATGCACCATCCGCCCATGTCAACGCACCATCCGCCCATGTCAATGCACCATTCGCCCATGTCAACGCACCATCCGCCCATGTCAACGCACCATCCGCCCATGTCAATGCACCATCCGCCCATGTCAACGCACCATCCGCCCACCATCCGCCCATGTCAACGCACCATCCGCCCATGTCAACGCACCATCCGCCCATGTCAACGCACCATCCGCCCATGTCAACGCACCATCCGCCCATGTCAACGCACCATCCGCCCATGTCAATGCACCATCCGCCCATGTCAACGCACCATCCGCCCATGTCAATGCACCATCCGCCCATGTCAATGCACCATCCGCCCATGTCAACGCACCATCCGCCCATGTCAATGCACCATCCGCCCATGTCAACGCACCATCCGCCCATGTCAACGCACCATCCGCCCATGTCAACGCACCATCCGCCCATGTCAATGCACCATCCGCCCATGTCAACGCACCATCCGCCCATGTCAACGCACCATCCGCCCATGTCAACGCACCATCCGCCCATGTCAACGCACCATCCGCCCATGTCAATGCACCATCCGCCCATGTCAACGCACCATCCGCCCATGTCAACGCACCATCCGCCCATGTCAACGCACCATCCGCCCATGTCAACGCACCATCCGCCCATGTCAATGCACCATCCGCCCATGTCAACGCACCATCCGCCCATGTCAATGCACCATCCGCCCATGTCAACGCACCATCCGCCCATGTCAACGCACCATCCGCCCATGTCAATGCACCATCCGCCCATGTCAACGCACCATCCGCCCATGTCAACGCACCATCCTCCCATGTCAACGCACCATCCGCCCATGTCAACGCACCATCCGCCCATGTCAACGCACCATCCGCCCATGTCAACGCACCATCCGCCCATGTCAACGCACCATCCGCCCATGTCAACGCAGCATCCGCCCATGTCAACGCACCATCCGCCCATGTCAACGCACCATCCGCCCATGTCAACGCACCATCCGCCCATGTCAATGCACCATCCTCTCATGTCAACGCACCATCCGCCCATGTCAATGCACCATCTGCCCATGTCAACGCACCATCCGCCCATGTCAACGCACCATCCGCCCATGTCAACGCACCATCCGCCCATGTCAACGCACCATCCGCCCATGTCAACGCACCATCCGCCCATGTCAACGCACCATCCGCCCATGTCAACGCACCATCCGCCCATGTCAATGCACCATCCGCCCATGTCAACGCACCATCCGCCCATGTCAATGCACCATCCGCCCATGTCAACGCACCATCCGCCCATGTCAACGCACCATCCGCCCATGTCAACGCACCATCCGCCCATGTCAACGCACCATCCGCCCATGTCAATGCACCATCCGCCCATGTCAACGCACCATCCGCCCATGTCAATGCACCATCCGCCCATGTCAACGCACCATCCGCCCATGTCAACGCACCATCCTCCCATGTCAACGCACCATCCGCCCATGTCAATGCACCATCCGCCCATGTCAACGCACCATCCTCCCATGTCAACGCACCAGGGGCGGCTGCACAGCGGTGCAGTGGACACGTCGCGGCACATGCTGGCGGGCGTGGAGCGGCGGTGGGAGGAGGTGAAGCTGCAGCTCGCCCCCTATGGACCCCTCAGAGCCTTCCTGCACGCCATCCGCCGACAGGTGCTCCCCGTCACCTCACGCTCCCTTTCTCCCCTCGCTTCCTCTCTGCCCTAAACCTACCAACCAGCTGCTCTTGCTCCACACTGACTTTCCTCTCCTGCCCTTCCATCCAGCGCCTCACTCTCCCCTATTCGTAACACCATCCTTTCACTCACTGCCCCACTCCTCCCACCGTACTTGCCAATGATTGCATGCCTGCCCTCAATGTCAACCCCCCTCTCCCCACCCCCACTCCCGCTTTCTCCCCATTCCCTTTCGATCAGCACGCGCAAGCTCTGAGAGCTCTCAACCAATCACAGGTGGAGGAACGGGCCACCATCCATCAGACAGATGCCGTGGCAAGGAAGCTTCAGAGAAAGATCTCTCGGGTGCCAGGGTGTTTAGCCACAGTGGCCACTTTAGTAGCCTCTGCTGCCATGGTGTACACTTTCTACTGGCTCAGCCCAGGGAAGAACCCTTGGGGGTGGGATGGCTATATCCTTCTCAGCAAGACGCACAGATGGTACTGATGCACGTGACACGAATCTGCTTGTAGGGCTCGCTATATTCTGTGTGTGTTGGTTGTAATGATAATTAATTCTTTTTTTAAGCACAAGTAACACTAAAAAGCGTAACAGAACATCAATACCGTATCACCCCGGATATAAGCGCAGGTGCGCTTATAATAAAACATTGATTTTTAGGAGGGGTGCACTTATAAATGAGTAACGGGCATTAGCGCATGCGGTTGTAATAAGATTAAAAAGAATTTGACTTTAAATTATACCAAAGTGAAGCCCACTCTAAGGCGAATGCAGCCTACCATGCATCACGTGGGGTCGTGCATGAATTCGAGGCGAAAATGACAACGCGCCTCGGTTTCCCACCCCACACTTTCGTCTAGAAGCATCGCACCTGCCAGCGATGACGCGAATCTTGCAGTGCGGCCCAATCACATCGCCCTGCGCTGTGTGGCATGCGAATTTCATCATAACCCTCTCGAAGGGTGCGGAAGATTCCCTGCCAACGCAGCGATTATGCTGCCACGCAGGATCCTCTGCGGGTTCATGCGGGGATTTCCCGCCTGCACCTGACAAGGACCCCAAGCCGCAAAATCAGCAGGGGTCCCCTCCGTTTCCCATTTCTGCAACCCCTCTTTCTGTTTTTCATTCAGTTTCTCGCTCTAGCCCGCCTGGCTGGCGAAGCCATGGCGGAATTCTCTGGGACACACTTCCTTTTTAAGAAGAAACCGAGACGCGCGTGGCGATTAACTGACGACAGGTGGTATACCCGTGAACCTCCTGATCCTCCTTGCCCACCCATGCCTCCTTCGCCGCCTGCTCCCCCTGCTCCACCTGCTCCACCTGCTCCACCTGCTCCACCTGTTCCTCCCGCCCCTCCTGCTCCTCCGAATCCGCCCGCTCCTTTTACGAGTACCAGTTCTCCTTACGCGGGCAAACGGCCCGTGCTCCAGCTCTTGCTACCAGCGACGTTCGACGAGTGGCTGTCTAAGCCGGAGGCCGACAAGCCCGTCGATGTATATGTTGAAGCATCGCCGCCGACACCACGTTGGGGACAGCCCGACGACTGCGCGTGGGACGAGTCGACTGTGGGCCCCGACGACGATGTACCCGCCGACGAGCAGCCACGTGGCGACGGCGAACCTGGTGGCGACGGTGAAACGGGCGGCGAGGCTGGCACAGAGGCCGACGTCTTCCCAGAGGGCGTTGCCAGCGCTGCGTTGAGACTTGGTGGCGCGATGCCCTACGTGAGACGTAGCCGATTCCTACATATCCTCCGATTAACAGAAAACGTCCCCACCCCTCTGTTGAGAACCGAGATGCCCGCCCCCCCTCCCCCAGGCATAAACCGACACAACATAAGCGTGCCTCGTACACCTCCCAGTAGAAGCTAAAGTGGCTCGTGCACTTGGAGGTTGCAGCATCGATTAGCGAGGTGGCGCGGGAGTCCGGCATCCACCGCAAGTGCTTGACCGAGTGGAAGCAGCAGGCGCATGAGCTGAAGGACGCCCACAGCGCACGGAAGCGACTGCAAGGACGCGGACGATCCTCTTGGTACCGTCCGATGGAGATGAAGATCTACGCGCAGCTCCTCGACTGGCGGCGCCATGGTCTTGCTGTTTCGGTGGGCCGTCTCCAAGATTGGTCGCACGAGGTGATGAAAGTCCTCTTCCCGGAAGTAAAGTGGAAAGGCAGCCAGCAATGGTCCGAACACTTCCGCAAGCGCTGGAATCTAACCGTGCGCATGAAAACCAAGGTGGCGCAGAAAACACAGCAACGTAAGTGCCATGCACCGTCTTTGAAATTCATGGAATTCGTTCGGTGTTCATGTTGTGTTTGCGTCCCTTGTCTGTGAGCTGCAGTAACTAATCCGCCCTTCCGCCTTGGCCATTGATCCTCTTGCGCAGACGTCGCGAAACAGTGCAAGGAGTTTTGGACGTTCGTTCGGGAAGCACGGCATGACTATGAGATCGACAGTCGCTACATAATCAACGCCGACCAGACACCACTATGGCTGGAGATGCCGGCGACAACCACAGTGGAGCAGACGGGCGTGAAGTCGGTGCCCATCCGCAGTGGCGGGTACCATAAAGAACGCATCACCGTGATGCTGGCGTGCACGCCAACGAGGGAGAAGCTGAAACCGTGGGTGTTTTTCAAGCGCAAGACAGTGCCAAAGGGCGACTTCCCGAACGGTAAGGACGTAGATGTGTTGTGTGTGCGTTTAGTGTTTGCCTCTACCCCACTAACGACCATTCTTTTTGTCGCAGATGTCGTGGTCGGCGTTCAAGAGAACGGATGGATGGCGGCGGAGAACGTCATCGAATGGCTCGACAAGGTGGTAGCACCTTTCATCAAGCCGAAGTTTGGCGTGCAGGGGCGAAGCGCTCTTCTCGTCCTCGATTCCTATCGAGGTCACCTGACGAAGGAAGTCAAGAAGAAGTTCGCAGAGTACAACATCGTCCCCGCGGTCATCCCGGCGGGATGCACGGCAGAGGTGCAGCCGCTCGATGTGGCCATCAACAAAAGCTTCAAGGCATCGGTGCGGCAGCAGTACCTGAAGTGGTTTGAGCAAGAGGGCATGAACGCATTGACCGCGGCAGGTGAGCGGATCACGTGCGGCATTAGCAACGCACTGGACGGCAGCGAGGACAAGCTGGCGATGGCGCACCGGAGGAGCCAGCTGACACACAAAGTTGATGTAGATGATGAGATCCAGGCTGATGGCTTCTGGGGCAACAACTGCCAGGAGCCTGAGTCGGATGAGGAGGAGTGACCCCCCTTAGGCTAGATTAGGTAGTAAATCTTGCCTCTAGATGGCAAAACTTGTAGAAAAATGTGCGATTCTTGTGAAATATTAGTGGAGTTTGTTCGAAAGCACTGTGAGGGCATGCAGTGAATTGGTAAATAATTAAATCAGTGTTAAAAACATTAGAACTGAAGAAGGGTGCGCTTATAATAAGTAACAAATTCTTAAGGGGTGCGCTTATAAATGAGGATCGGCCATAAGCGCATTGCTCCAGATACAAGCGCATGCGCCTATCATAGGCCTGCGCTTATATCCGGGGTGATACGGTAGTCGTAATTGCAGCCGATGGGCCTAGGAGGTACGGTATACACCATCTGTACCCACCTTAGCCTACTAAGGGCGGCGAAGCTGTCCTTGAGTTGGACCAGATGGAGGCGAGCCTCCGCAACCACGTGGCCGGCATTGCTGAGGTGTCCTGGATTCTGCTTAACGCACAGTGCTCATCCTTGTTCAAACCTCCTCGGGTGGACCCCGGCTTCCGTTTCTCGCTCTTGACACATGTGGACACCCTGACATGCAGCTGAAAAGCAGCCCCGTTTTTCCACAGCACCCTTCTCGCCCGAAACTTGTTGCGCTCGAATTCGCATGAAACCTCTCCACCCAGATCTTGTGGAGGGTGATGGATGTGATGGTAGCTTCGGGAAATCCCTAGCCTGTACCTTCTTGCTGGAAAATCATGTCCCCAAGTGACTCCATCCTCTTGCCGTGGTTGAGCATGCTTAAAGCCTTCGGGAGAGACCGAACCACCGGCCGAATGCGAGGGCATTGGAACAATCAGTGCTCCAGCGTCTCACTGCCCCCACAGTGCGGGCAGGCGAATGCGTCACCGAGGAAGTGCGGACGCCCCCCCCCTTACGTCCCTCGGCTGACTCAAAAGAGCCGTTGAGTCCCAACCAAACCCCAATTACTCTCCGTCAATCAATCGGGTGGCTCCGTGCAGTTTCCCAGGCCGTTTGTTGCTTTGGCTTCCCCCCACCTCGGAGGAAACCCCCGCGGAGCTGCTTGAACTACTCCAGTTGGTCTCCAACCCACGCGGCCTCGTCTCAGAATGCCCAGAGGGGCCCAAGAGCCGCCGACCCCCCTGTCCATAGCAGGTACCACCTCGTGCGCCTGGAACGTGGCACACTGCTCCTCAGCTGCCCCCCGAACTTCTCTAGCAAAGCCGATAGCTTGGCAGACTAGCCCATCCTGACCCGCACTTTCCACCATCCACAGTCCATGGCGGGTTATGGTTGGGAGCACGAAATGCAAGTACCGAAATCTCCTCCGCCAAGACCGGCGCGAGCAGTAACCGCTTCCATTCTTATGAAGTGGCGCTGAAAACCCTGAGAGCCAGCAGGGCCTTGCTGCACCACCGAGCTCGCGCGCCACGTATCTTAAAGATGCCTTCTCCCATGTGGTAACTATCAAACTGATATACCCATGTGTGTAGGCTGTAGTAAATAACCCTCTAAGAGGTATGACACTTTAGAATTAGGTACGGTACTTGTACCAATTCTCTTTCAAAGCCAATCATTCCTGCTCGTTAGTTTCTGACATGATTTCAGAACAAGTAGGTCCTTATGACCGTGCTAGGACCAGTTTTTTTTTTTTTTTTTGGCCCACCGTTAGATGCTGCCCTGACCTGCACGATCACGCTGCCCCGCACGTGCCCTGCTGTCCCGCACTTCCGTTACCCCGTGCACTGCCGC